TAGTGATTTCATGTTGAAATATTTTCTGATACATTTTAAATTCATATGTTCTGAAGGTTTTCCCTTCTGCCAAACCGCACAAGAGGACTTTTGGCTTGCCGCATATTTAGAGTGCCACCATGCTACACTGACAATACAAACATCTGTGCCTTCCCAACTCTGGGATTCGAAACTGGGCCCTTCGGCATGGCAGCCAGCGAGGCTAACCACTATACCGGTTGGGCAGGGAAAGCTCTCCTCTAGAAGGGAATCAAAATAAAAGCACATAACTTTTCTTCTTTGCATTCAGTTGAAGTTTTGGTGTACAGTCAAAAGTCTTTAATCCGGACTCGTCAGGACTTCGGCGATTCTGGATTATCGATTTTTTCTGGATTTAATTTTTCTGGATCATCGGTTTAAATCTGGTAAGATGGCAATCAGAAATTATAAAATTAAAAATATGAAACTGTAATTTATGAAATAAAGAACAATTATGATCTAAAGGGTATCAAAATTTACAAAAAAAGCTTAATGTTTATTTGTTTACTTTATTAAACATTTCTTTCAACGCACGCATGCGTAAAGCATACATTACGCATAGTCGAAATTAGAAAATTGCAACCAGAAAACTATTTAATGTGTATTCTTGATATTCATAATGAATTTGATTTAAATCATATCAAAGACAGAGTACATCAAGATGAAATACTACATTTAGTAATGAACTATAAGCCGAATAAAATAAAAACATCTGCCCTGAAGATAAGGATAGTGCTGACAGATCATTTCCAGTTCATTGCGCGCTGCGATGTTCCCCTCCCCTGCAGAGCAGCGTGAAATTGATAAACAGATTTCGGAATGGTTAGAGAAACAAAGGAATTTCCAGCCATTTGGTCTTAAAATCTTGAAGGCAAGTTTGTTAATTTTAACTTAGTAGTTTGATCTTTAAAATTTGCAATTAACTACATGTTTTAAACTTTAAAAGTTGCATCATTTTTTTAACTTATCATTTTGACTTTGAAAAAACTTTTAATGTTCTAACATGTTTACTTCTGTTTTTGAAATTGTAATGAGAATGTAGGGGATATGTGTTTTAAAGTAAGCATCTTGTTCAAATTTAATTGTGTACTTAATAGAAACTTTAATTTTAAGATTATTTGCTATTTTGTTTAACAAGATTCTTAGCTTAAATGGACTAATGTATTTGTTTGGATCGAGTATTCATTTTGAATTGTTGTTTGAATCTAGCAAATAATTTGATGCTTACTTGGAAGTAAGATGAAACACTCTCTTAATTTAGTTATTGTTAATTGATGGTAGATTGGTTTATCCCTTTGATAAATCGATTAATTTGCTATCAATGACAAAAACTACTTTTTCAATGTATATAGAATTTACTTTTGGTTTTGATATTTTTGAAATTTAAGATTTTTCTTAACAATTAATTTTTTAAACAAGAATTTGAAATTACTATTTAAAATACTAATTTAAATTCTGACTAAAAAACCATGACTAAAATTTTTTTTTTTTTTTTCATTCATGATTTTAAATTGAATTTGTGTTCCTTGGAGACGGTATATGGAAAGTTTTCTTATTATAAATTATATATATACAGTCAAAAGTCGTTAATTCGGACACCCATAATCCGGAATGATCTATAATCCGGACCTCAAAGCTAAAAACTTTCTGCGCATGCGCCGCGTTGACACATGCGCATAGGCGTTTACGCGTGCACGTAAGACTTTTTACCACTACGCATATGCGTTTGCGCAAGCGCAGAATACGTTTTCGCATGCGCGTTTTATGTATAACGGACGGTATAATCTAAAATTATCTAATTATCTATTTCAGTTAATGTTGATGATTGCATTGTTACTTAATCTTCGAATTGGATCCGGTTTATTATTTTTTGCAGACTGTAAGAGCAATTTTATAAAAGTAAACTTGAACTTTCGATTATGTCAAATAGAATTTCCGTTTCAGGGGCTCCCAAAGGATCGTACAAAACGAAAGTCTGTTTCAATGTCCATCACACAAAAAGTGGAATTGCTGCAAAAAATGGATAAAGACATGAAGAATGTGACAGAGAGGTTAGTGAAAACGAAAAAATTTTGATTGACAAGTTAGTCGGTATTCTCGGCACAGCAATTAACGGGACTTGAACAGCGGAACTTTGTAACTGAACAAGAAATCGTGTCTGTTTATAGAATTAAAGAGAAAGTATTATCACATAAAACGAAGCAACTTTAAACAACTTACATTGAAAGAAATGTTTAATAAAGTAAGCAAATTAATATTGAGCTTCTTTTTTGTAAATTTTGATACCCTTTAGATCATAATTGTTCTTTATTTCATAAATTAAGGTTTCATATTTTTAATTTTAGAATTTCTGCATGCCATCTTACGAGATTTAAACTGATGATCGATAATCCGGAATCGCCAAAGTCCCGACGAGTCCGGATTAACTACTTTTGACTGTATATAGTATTTATATAAGAATACATTGTCCTTTAAGTTTAAACATATAAATGTACTTCAGCAGGATATTCAAGGGCCCCCCTAAGCCTTCGGGCCCTTATGCAACATCATTCTTTGCATACCCTTATTTATGCCACTGGTGCTGAGTACATGACACTAAGGTTGATGACTTCTGTTAATTTTCAGTACAGTCAAAAGTCGTTAATCCTGACTTGTCGGGACTTCGGCGATTCCGGATTATCGATTTTTCCAGATTATATATCATCAGTTTAAATCTGGTAAGATGGCATGCAGAAATTATAAAATTAAAAATACGAAACCGTAATTTATGAAATAAAGAACATTTATGATCTAAAGGTATCAAAATTTACAAAAAAAAAAAAAAAAAAAAGCTTAATATTTATTTGTTTACTTTATTAAACATTTCTTTCAATGTAAGTAGTTTAAGTTGCTTCGTTTTATGTGATAATACTTTCTCTTTAATTCTATAAACAGGCACAATTTCTTGTTCAGTTACAAAGTTCCGCTGTTCAAGTCCTATAATTGCTGTGTTGAGAATACTGACTAATTTGTCAATTGAAATTTTTTAGTTTTCAATAAATAACCTCTTCACTATCGGAAGCGAATTATAATGACGAGGAATTTGATTTAAATCATACCAAAGACGGAGTAGAGATGAAATACTACATTTAGTAAGGAATTATAAGCCAAATAAAATAAAAACATCTGCCCTGAAGATAAGGATAGTGCTGACAGATCAACTTCCAATTCATTGCGCGCCGCGGCTTTTCTCCCCCCCTCCACCACAGAGTAGCGTGAAATTGATAAACAGATTTCGGAATGGTTAGAAAAATGAAGGATATGCCTTTATCCATTTTTTGCAGCAATTCCACTTTTTGTTTAATGGACTTCGAAACATACTTTTGCTTTGTACATCCTTTACATATTAATAAATATATATCAGAAATTCTATTTGACATAATCGAAAGTTCAAGCTTACTTTTATAAAGTTGCTCTAACAGTCTGCAAAAAATAATAAGCCAGATCCAATTCAAAGATTAAGGAACAACGCAATCTGCAACATTAACTGAATTAGATAATTTTAGCTTAGCTTATACTGTCCGTTATATATTAAATGCGCATGTGTAAACGTATTATGCACTTGCGCACATGCATATTCGCAGCCGTAAAGGTCTTACGCGCATGTGTCGACGCATGCACAGAAAGTTTGTAGCTTTGAGGTCCAGATTATAGATCATTCCGGATTATTGGTGTCCGAATTAACGACTTTTGACTGTATCAAAAAGGAAGCATGTAAAAATATCTTACATATGGTAGTTGACAATACTTTTTATAATACAGACTGATGACTGGAATGCTGTATCTTTTTGTAGTTTATTTGAAGTAATCTGAATGAATTTGAAGTACTGGTTAACCAACCACAAAGCACTAATTAAATCACACATGATCATGTAGCACATTCTCCCCCCTTTCTTAGACATGGCAGAACACGAGCAAGGGTTTGATTATAAAAACAGAAAATATAATTAATAGGCATGGGCACAGCCTTGCATCAAAATTTTAGGAAAAATGGTGCTTTTCCCAAAGGGGATTCACTGTCGATACATCGTAATAAACTAGGAGATTTGATGGCATAGTTAGATGCATAAAAAAGCAAAAACTTGTCAGATGTGGCCGAAATTCAAGTATTTCCTTTTTTTTTTTTTTTTTTTTTTATTTTCCTTTTAACAAATATTTTCATTAAGCCAACAAAAGTAATATGGGCATTACAATGCCCCCCTTTTTTTTTTCACGTCAATTCATGCAAATTTTCACATCATTACTGACAGACTTGTGAAAAATACTTTTTTGAAAAAAGCAAGAGTGAAACAAAGAGGAAAAGTGACATATTCAGAAGAAGTGAGGGAGAAGTGAATCAAAAAGTTTTGATTCTTAAAAAGAAATCTTATTCAATGACAAGGATGAAATTTGTCTGCATTGCAGCACTAGGCAGGGTCTTATGATGTGGATTAATTTTGAAATGATGCATTTTAGATTGATATATTACAAAGAATTACTATTTTTAGGGCAGAAAGGAGAAGTGACCTAATTAAAATGAAGAATAAAAGGGACTATTCCATTCTGAAATTAAAAGTTTGATTTCATATTTGTTATCTTTCGCACACACACACATATCTCTATTGATATCAATATAAATACTATATATAAATTACATAAATATAATGTATATAAGTCAGTATCTTACATTTTGTAAGAAGGTATAGGTAACCACTTTCATTATGAAACTGAAAAAAATAATGAATTTATAAGTTTAGAATAATAGGTTTCTTTTTCTTTATTCCCCCCCCCCCCGAGCAGGAGTTACCTTTTTTACATTAATATCTGAAAATATTAATAGAGATAAAAAAGTATCGATGTTTTTATATTTTTTCTTTGTTAAATTGCTATATAATTCCTTTTGTTAATTAATTGTAATATATATATATATACATATATGTTATGAATAATGTTCCTTTTTACAGGCATCAAATCCTGGACAGTTTGAAAATGACATGGAATTGTCATGGCAAAGGGGACAGCTAGCAGATTCAATCTATCATGCTGTAAGGAATTTAAAAAAAATACAGTTAATCATTTTTAAACTGCTACATGGAATAAATATATATAGTAATCGTTTTCACTTATGCATTGCCCTGTATAATATTATTTGATTCTGAACATTTTAAATTTTGCAAAACTTCTCAAGTTTCCACAGTAATTTTTATGTTTTTCCATGTATAACATGAATGCAAGTCCGTTTTCTTCCAAAAACATCCTTTATGAAAATATCGTGCTTTGCTTTCATTAAATCATTTAACCATCAATAAATTTTGCTACCTTTATTTAACTACTGATTGAAATGTTCCCATTTAATTCCCATGCAAAATTTTGATAATTTTATTATTTAATTATTGTAATTAATTTTTATGTAATATTTATAGATTTGCATGAACTTAATAATAATTGGTCAATAGTAATTAAATCAGATATTAATTATGTGACCTTTTTATGCATAAAAACTAAATTGTGTCACTGAGCTTTTATTATTATGAAAAAGTAACAAAGTGAATACTTTCATCAGATAATTTCTTGAAGGCACTTCTGCATTATATTCCTAAGCTTAAGAGAATTGTGAGCAAAATCTTATAAATTTTATGCTTGTCAAATTGCATCAAAGTTAATTACATTAAAAATGTAACTTTTGGGGGATTTCCTTTTGAACCAAATTTCATGATTCAAGATCATTTTGTTTAAACATCATGCAGTCATTTTGTTTAAACATGCAGAGAATTTTGATTGTGGTTTCAAGAAATACATATCAACCGTACAATCTGAAAGCATGACTAAAGATGGTTCCTGTAGACATTTCAGTATATAATAAAGAAGATTAAAGAAAAAATTTTCACTGTTAGTGATAACTAATTGAAATAAATCGTCTTTGGTTTTTCTGATAAATGTTGCTTTAATTGTCGTGTAATATGGTGAGTAATATATTTTTTCTATAGTTTCATATTGAAATCTAGTCCAAAATTTTTATTTCAGATAAATGCAGGTGAATCTGAATTATCTTTGGAATTTTAGTATACTGCTGTATTGTAACAGAAGAGATAGCATAACATAATTAATGGTTATGCAAATAGAAATAATATTCAAAGATTTTAATAGATATTACAAGTTCTTAATTTATTTTTTGTTTATGACATGATACACATTTGTCTAGTAATCCAGAAACTCCACACTCATTCCATTTTATTTGGTCTACATAATTGATAGCTGTGTAAGGTACAGTTTTCAACTCCATTAAGTCTCAGAGCAATAAATTAAAGCCTTATTACTTTCAAAGGATAACTTGTGCCTATTTAAAAAATAATTTTTAAAAATGCCTGAACTGTTTAATGGCCTTAAATTGCCCATATCTTATTTGGCCATCTTGATCATCAGACTTAGTATGCTATTATTTTTTTCTGTATTAAGAACCAGTTGTGTTATCTCTATGGGAAGGATTTAAAATGAATGATGGAACTGAAATATAGCTGTCACTCAGGTAGATCAAGCAAACCTAAAGCCAGTGTGAATTGACCAGGTTTATAACCATGTGTTTTGTCATGAAGAATAGTCACCTTGAAAATATATATAATCTATAAAATTCATTAAACACGCATTTTCTTTTGCATTGCTATTAACCATGTTACCCTAACCATTTCCATTATAACATAGAATCACTCAAAAAAGTATTTTAAAATCTGCGAGCTCCTTTTGGGGAGGTATGTATGTTCAAATGTGTATGCACAGTTTATATATTTTTTGCAATAATAACATTTTTTCAGATGCATTCTGATTTGTAAAGGTCTTAAATGTAGTATGAAGATGTTTATAAAAATTTATTATCATGTATTCCTTTTTATTCTCAGGGTCGTGTGGGCATCAATACTGACAGACCAGATGAAGCACTTGTTGTTCATGGTAATATGAAAGTTACAGGCCATATAGTTCAACCTTCAGATGCTCGAGCCAAAACAAATATTGAAGAGGTACTTTTTTAACACTTTTTTATGTATATATATTTATTATACTATATAGGATGACAATTTTGTGGGATGCTTTGTTCAGTTTTCAAATTATGTTAAACAGTTAGTTCCATTTATATATATCTTTCTTCTAATTTTACGTCTAATTTTTTCATTGATATATAACAAAAATAAGTCTTCCAGATTCATCTATGGTTATCTTCTAGTTGTCTAAATAGTAAAATTTTAATTTATCCTTATGAACCCAGTTGCTTAATAACCTTACACGTTCATGAGTACTGTTTTATCCTTGTAAATAGTTCTATTCAGGGATAGGTTCTGTTAAATACTGACATTGGTTTGATCGTTTTGGGGGGGGGATGGAGAGGAACTTCCTGTATGGAGTTTATAATTTTGTTTCACTTGTGTGAGGCAAATTAATTGAAAATATACTTTGACAGAGTCTGCCTTCCTGTTCAGCCTCAAGAAGGAGCTTCTGTTTATTTCTTTGTCGTTCGTATTTTGCAGATTATACATAGTTGCAAATCCTTTGATGAGATTTCTATAGCTGAAAGGCAGTAAAATGTAAAAGTACATTATCTCAGAGTTGCAGACATGATGTATAAAATAACTAAAATTTATAAAATAGCTAAAGTTCATAACAAGAAAACTTCTATTGTTATGAAGAAGTTTCTCACTTCCCAGTGCTGTCCATTGGCTGCTCCATGAAGCAGAGAAAGTGGTTCAGGGCTGTTTTAGAGCCTGGAAATTTAATACTGCAATTGGAGTTTCATAAAACTTTTGCCTCTCATTCTTGTTCATTGTGAACTTCAGATAAATTTATCATATTTCATACTATTGTGTAATATTGTAAAAGTATGTGCTTGTATGTAGAATTTAGTAGAGAATTTATAGTATGCATAGACTTTCCTATTATTCCAACTGTTGCTTGCCTAAGCCAGTTGGACATTCCGGAGAACTGAATTGTTGTGTATATATATCCAATTAATAAATTCTGAAAATTCTTATACTGGAATTCTCTATTCTTTGAAATGATTTCTTTATTGAAAATTGATTTATAAGTTAGAGAAAAATCTGTCAAATTTTTGGAAGTGTCTAAGAATATGGGACCAATTAAAGAACTTGAAAGTGATCTATGAACTTTGATTACTCGCTACTAGTTTGACTAAACTTAAGATGTGTACTGATATTTAGAAATGTTATTTTTACCATTAACTCAAGGACAAGTTTCTTTTTCCCACTGTTTCTTTTTTTAAATACAATTATGCCATTTAGTCTGATTATTACTGCTAGTTTGTATATTCCTTAGTAATTTATTTATTTAATGATTTAGTTATTACTGCTAGTTTGTATATTCCTTAGTAATTTATTTATTTAATGCAATTAAGGTGGATACTAAAGAGCAGTTAAAAAATGTGGCAAATATGAGGATTGTACGGTATCAGTACCTTCCAGAATTTGCAAAACATATTGGTTTGGGTGAAGAAAACTCCACAAGTACAGGTATCATTGCTCAGGAAGTTCAGACACTTATACCAGATGCAGTACAAGGTGCAGGAGATATTCTCCTCCCAAATGGACAACACATAGAAAATTTTCTTGTTGTGAATAAGGTATGATTTTGCAATGCATTTCAAATAAATATTTAAGCTTTAATATACATCATATAATGTAGTATACAACTATGATATTCAACTAAACTTTTGCAAATAAATTTTTATACATTTTATATACAGTCAAAAGTCGTTAATCCGGACTCGTCGGGACTTCGGCGATTCCGGATTATAGATCATCAGTTTAAATCTCGTAAGATGGCATGCAGAAATTATAAAATTAAAAATATGAAACCGTAATTTATGAAATAAAGAACAATTATGATCTAAAGGGTATCAAAATTTGCAAAAAGAAAAAGCTTAATATTTATTTGTTTACTTTATTAAACATTTCTTTCAATGTAAGTTGTTTAAGTTTTGCTTCGTTTCATGTGATACTTTCTCTTTAATTCTATTAAACAGACATAATTTCTTGTTCAGTTACAAAGTTCCGCCGTTCAAGTCCTATAATTGCTGTGTCAAGAATACCCCTACTAATTTGTCAATCGAAATTTTTTTGTTTTAAATAACCTCTGTCACTTTTTTTTTTCGCTATCGGAAGCGAATTATAATGACGAGGAACTTGTTTTAAATCATATCAAAGACGAAGCATATCGAGATGAAATACTACATTTGGTAAGGAATTATAAGCCAAATAAAATAAAAACATCTGCGCCGAAGATAAGGATAGTGCTGACAAATCAACTTCCAATTCATTACGCGCGCCCCGCCGCCGAGCAGCGTGAAATTGATAAACAGATTTCGGATTTCAAAACATACTTTCGCTTTAGATCCTTTACATATTAACAAATATATATCGGAAATTCTATTTGATATAATCGAAAGTTTAAGCTTACTTTTATAAAATTGCTCTTACAGTCTGCAAAAATAATAAGCCGGATGCAATTCGAAAATTAAGGAACAACGCAATCATCAACATTAACTGAAATAGATAATCATTTAGCTTATACGTCCATTATACATAAAATGCACGCGCGAAAACGTATTCTGCACTTGCGCACACTCATATGCGCAGTTGTAAAAGGTCTTATGCGCACGCGTAAACGCCTCTGCGCATGTGTCAACGCGGCGCATGCGCAGAAAGTTTTTAGTTTTGATGTCCGGATTATAGATCATTCCGAATTATGGGTGTCCGAATTAACGACTTTTGACTGTATAAAACTGTTGAATAATTATGATCACATAGCCATAATGTAGTGCTTTTAGATGTTGTTTAAATACTAAAAAGGGAATGAATAAATACAGTAGGAGTAAAAAGTAATACTTCTTTAAATAGATTTTCTATTACTTTTCAGTTCTTTTTATTTAGTACTTAATATCACTGTATTGAAGAGTATAATGCTGTTGTATAAAGATTATTAGTTTAAAAAATTGTATGAAGATATTCATATTCTGGTTTAATACTTTGGTCTAGTAATTTAAAATTTAAATCACTAGAATATTTTTTTTTTAATTAAGAAAAGGGATATAAAACTTCTCGTGTTCCATGAAGTATTCCACGAGGCTTACAGATGTAAGTAAAAATGCATAGTGTAAGGAATTCAAGGATAAAAACAGAAAATCTAGGCCTGGAAAGAGCAAAGAAAATATATATATATATATAATACAAATATAGTAAAATACTAAAATATACCATGAAAGATTAAGCAATGTTAATACTCCTATAAAAATTATAAACCAAGTTAAAAAATACAATAACGATAAAAATGAGATAGTACTCAAACATAATACTGATACAAAGAAAAATAGTATATCAACAGTATTTGGAGTGAATTTGAAATTTTTTACTGAGCATTCAAACTCTATTATTATTTCATATTGGGGACTGTTGCTGCATTTGAAGGAAAGTTTTTGGCCCCTAATTGTCAGAAATAAAATTAATGAAAACAGTATTTAATATTAAAAAAATAAAATAAAAAATCTGAAAGGGTTAATATTTGTACAATTTACCCAGAAGGGTTCTTTTGAAGTTTAATATGATTTATCAACAAAAAGCTATCTGGCCCAGATGAAATAGTGAAACATTTTATAACATATGAGATGAATATACATTTAGAATAACATGGAACATAATTATCTTGTGTAATTTGAAAAGTGAAACGTGTAACATAATTCTATAAAAAATATTTAATATTTTTAATTAACTTTATCATGAATTAAATGCATTTTTATTTAACTGAATCAGATGCAAAAGTAAAAGATAACATTTTTTAAAACTTCATCTGTTGCTTTTATTGATCAGTAGCAGAAAGATTAAATATGAAACATAAATATGGTACATTTTGTGGAATGGCAACAGACTTGAATGAAAGGACAAACAATTCATTGTGAAACAATACAAAATCCTAATTTGAGACTAATAGCCCTTTTGATTTTCTTAGAAAAGTATTACAATGAACAAGAAGTATGAAATCTGTTAAATGGCATTTTCCTTTTCAATTAATTATATTTTTAAACTATCTGATTTTTAAATTTGAATTTTAATCAGTAATAAAACTGCTTCAGGTTTGTGTAAATAAATCTATTGAAACATCTATCCTGATGACTGAATTGGAAGAAATTGACCAAAATATGAAATATCTATTAGTTTTATTTAATGCATTTATTAATTTAAATGATTATATTATACCCAGCATGATGCCATAAAAAAATCTGCTTTTGATTTTGTGTTTGTGTTTGCTAATATAAAAAGTTGAAATCTTTCTTACCAGATAATGGATCAAATAAAATGTTAAAAGATTATTATTACTATCATTATCATTTTAGTAATAATTTGGTTGCATATATTATTACTAAGATGTATTAAAGGCTCAAATTGCATACCTAAATCATTCTACCATATTTTTTCTTAACCTGATAATCTTATTGTATGTTATAACTGTTCTGAAATTAATCTTCCAGTTGAATGATTAAAAATAATATTTTACATGGAAGGCATTTTTAATTTCTATATTATGTATTATACTTATGAAAAATAAAAGTTTCCAAGTAGACCTAATTTTTAAATCAAAATCAAAATAATGAAGTAAATATTATTAAAATATATTATAAAATGTCATTATTTTATTAATTTTCTTATTATTAATTTGTTTTATTCTTATGCAATCAATTTTTAAATTTTTTATTCTTTATTTTTACTTTACTTAATCATTTTAGTAATTTTAAATTATGTCTCATTCTTATTATCGTTGTTTTTTTACAAGAGCATTTTTTACAATGACATTACAATTATTTTTCTTTTATCTTCTACATATTTTGTTTTCACTTATGTTTGTAATTAATCTGAATTGTTTGGTTTAGGAACGCATTTTCATGGAAAATGTTGGGGCAGTCAAAGAGCTTTGCAAAGTTACAGATAATTTAGAAACACGTATTGATGAGCTAGAAAAAGTTAATAAAAAACTGAGCAAAATTAAAAGGATAGATAGCTTGAAATCAACATCCAGTGGCAGTACAGTAACTAGGTATGATTGTGCTTTCTGTTAGATTGAAAAATTATTTATCAACAAAGTTATATCTAATATTTTTAAATTAAATTAATGTAGCTTTTCTCAGTTTTTCAAAATATTTTTGTTATTTTTATTTATGAAATGAAATGATAACTGAATAAATAATTAAGATTTTGAAAAAGAGAAGAATCTGCTCAATATTCAGAATTTATAAAAGAATTTTTAAATGTTGTGTTTTCTCAGTCATATTTCAGTATTCAGTTTAATCATATATAATTGAATTTAGATAAATACGATATCATCACATACAGGATTCAGACAAATTTATTATTCTCACACAATAATGCATTCAGACAAATATATTATTCTCACACAATAATGGATTCAGACAAATTTATTATTCTCACACAATAATGGATTCAGACATATTAAGTATCTTCACATTACCTTCTAGTGTTTTAATTTTGGTCAAATTGTTAAAAAGAAAAGGAAAAGTTAAATATCTTCCCTACTTTTCTACTTAAAATTCCTTCAGTGCAGTTTTGTTTTAGTATCAATATTGAATACAAATTATAATCTTATGTTAAAACTGCCGTATGTGCTTATGGCCTTGAGTTGTAATCTCCCGTCTTCTCAAAAAGCTAAATTTCGGAAACTACAGCACTTTTTTTACATATCTTATTCTGAAATCATTATAATTGGTTTACTGTACATCTTTTCATGGATAACTGAATCCTCCCTCCTATATATTAGGATGAAATTTCGTTGACTTTTAAAAGGGTCAGTGAACTTTTGTTTAAAAGCAAAATTATTTTTCATAGGTCTATAACCATTAATGCTACCAACATACAAAATACAGTTGTAAAGAGCTCTGACCAAGGATTGAACCCAATACCATTTTCTTATTTTGGCTTTTGAGTGACCAAATGATTTGACCATCGATTATTTTGGTCTTTGAGTGATCAAGTGCACCCATTAAAGAGTTTTAGCTTGTGGTTATCCTTCAGTTTCTTTCTTATCTTAAGATCACTCATTGTGTAATAAAGTGCAAATATCAATTTACAGATATTCTCACTTACTTATATTACTTGTAAGAGAAAAAAAAAGTTGGAAACTAAGTGATTAAGAATTAAAATCTAAATGTTTCTAAAAGGTTAGTTTTATTCTAAATCAGTATTCTTGAATAAATGAAATTAATATAAGTAAATGGTTGCATGATTAGCTGAAAAAGATTATATAGTAATATTTTCAATTTTTATAGTCATATGAGTACCCTCAATTCATCAAAAAGAACCTCTCGACATCCTTACCAGTACAAGCATACTGCAGTGAAAAATATTTGTGCTGAAGATGACCATTATTGCACAAATCACTTCTTGCAAGGAATAATAGTCATTTTAATCCTTATCATGGCCATCTGGTGAGTACTGATTTTTCTCTTTTTGAATATAATTGTATAATATTCACATATATCAGTCATAATTTATTTTATGTTTCTTATTTAAAAATAAAAGTTTTTCTGTAAGTTTATTCACAATCTTCATTTATGTATTAAAATATTTGGCAATTTTAACATTGAAATTTTTAAGTGTTATCAGAAACAGAAATAGTTTTGCATAAAAAAATCTTTCCTTTCAAACTAATAATGGAGGATAAAGTGAGCTAAAAGATTTGAATTATGTAGCTCTTATTTATGCTTAAGCAAATTGTGAGTAATAGTAAAAATAATAATAATAATAATAAGTCACATATCTTAATGGCTTCTTGATTTGCTATAAAATAATGAGTTAAAAATTTATTTTTGCCATTAACATGAAATTTAAATTTATTTAAAGCTTTTAAGTAATATTGAAATTACACTTTGAAGATAGCACAGCCTATGTGGTACTAGTTATGTAAAAAAGAAATATTAACTAATTATATTTAACTTAACTGTATACTTTACAGTAAAACTGAAATAATAATAATAAAAAAAGAAATTATGCTAGTATTATGTCATCAGTATAAATTAAAGCTGAGTAATTTTATATAGTTTCTGTTACAGTTTAAAAATTATTTGTTGACATACTGCTATTTATTTACTGTATTTTTAATTTTATCATTTGATAATGAGGTGTTTCTTTTTTCTTTCTTTTTATTTTTTAAGATTGATGAATATATACTTGATAGTACTGCATTGTATCTTAATGTATATAGTAATTGGAATGGTAATTATATATGATAAAAGAACTAAAGAGATATGACAGTTTACAGATATGACCATCAAAAGACTAAGGTAGTAATACCTTAATCTTTTGATGGTCATGAACAAGCTCATCTCACATTCCAGTTATGCACCGTAGTAGAACCAGCTAGAATTACAAATTTATGACTGATAGACACTAGGAAATCTTATTAGGAAGAAAAAATTGCTTAATATCACTAGTGTCGAAAAGTTAATAATTAATAAAAATTGTACTTAACCATTTTATAGCTACATGTCAAAGCTATATCTTTTTTTATCTTTTATTCAAAACATTCTTGTCATCAAAGCCTTTATAAATACTGTTGACTTATTTTTCAGTTTGGCAGCTATGGCATCACTGTATGTTTTAGAATACAGAAATCGACATGTTCCTGTTCTACCTTTAGATATCAAGTAAGTTAAAAAAATTCGATACTTTAATTTTAGAATAATTTCATTTTATTTTAAGAAACATTTATTAATTTTGTAATTAAAATAGATTGAATAACAGTAGGATGATTCTTAAAAAACTGAAATATAACTAAAATTTATACCATTTCAAATTAAAATATTTTTCTAATAGATATTAAAATATTAAATTTTATGTACTGGAATAATTTTGAAAGCATTAAATTTCTGCAGATCCTTAATATAGATATGAAGGTTTTTCTGGGAAATAATAATATTTTCCATAATCTTTTCAATGATCATATTTTTAATGACATATTATAATAGATTTTATTAAGTTTTGTAACATAAGGTAAATTGTTTATTAAAAGATAATTTTCATGGTGTATTAAAATATTCTTAATGTTGGCAGTGGTGATGATAAAGGCAAAGCATATTTTGCTTCCCTTAAATAAAACTAAGACTAATCTAAATAAAATTCATGCTTTATTCCGTAAATAAAATAAAATAATCTAACACTGTAGCCTTTACATTTAAAATCATTAAGTGAAAGAAAAACTAGCATAATGCTAACTGATAATCACACAAGAGAACAAGACATTCGCCGATACCGGCGTACTTTTATATATATTATACTCGGCCAACCCGCCGATCTTGACGTCATTGGCCAATCAGCGGCAACCACGTTAGCTTACTGCCGATTAACCTCCGATCAAAATTTGCATGTGGAAAACTAAAGCCAACAAACGGCCCTCTTTTCCTCATGCAAAGACAAAAACAAAACTTACACAGAAGTTCATAGTTCAATTCTACGAAAAACACTTATTGTCTTTAAAACCCTGAAACATCTAAACAAAACTTTCTTAATTAACAGCAGTCGCTGCTTTTGTAAATAAGTCGGCAGTATTTAATTTACTGGTGATAAATTCAAGGTCAAACACTCCATCATTTACTAGTCTTCTAACAAAGTGATATTTTACATCTATGTGCTTAGTTCAGCGATTTTCTATTGGAGATCTAGAAAAATCAATGGCAGACTTGTTATCACAAAATAGTGTACACTCTCTTATATTAAACTTTAAAATTTCATCTTGTAAGACATTTTTCGTCCACATTAATTCCTTCGCTGCTTCAGATAAGGTGATATACTCCGCTTCCATGGTTGATAAACTTACACATTTTTGTTTAACAGTTTTCAGATTACCGGTACTTCATCTAAATATAATATAAATCCTCCCATGGACATGCAATCATCTCTATTACTTGCATAATCAGCATCTGAATAACAATATAAATTTATATGTTTAATTTTCGATAAGTTTAACTTATATAATTTAGTACTATTGAGATAACCGAGCAATTTCAACAACGCTTCCCAATGCCTAATTCCAGGATTCTCCTGAAATAGTGATAAGATATTCACTGCATATGTAATATCAGGCCTTGTCCTGTTAGCTACAAAAACTAAACATCCTAACAGATTTCTAAAGGGTAATGTATGCATTTCCGCAATTTCTGCACTTGTAGATGGACAATCTAATTTTGTAAGAATAGTGCCTTTAGCTATGGGAAGTAAAGTTATTGGTATCTGGAAATGTTTAAATTTTTCAAAAATTTCTTCGATATATTTTCAGCTGATGTATAAAAACTCCATTCTCATTCTCTAAGAATTCAGTTCCAAGTAACGTTTTAGTTTTGCCTAATACTTTAAGATCAAAAAACTTACTCAGCTGTGAAATTACTTTTATCTATACTATATTGATCTTTACTAAAAATCACAATATCATCTACATATAACAAGAGAATTACATTTGAACCCTTATAAACACAATTACACCATTGTATTTTCTTAAAATGTAGATTTTCTAAAGTACTTTCAAATTCACAAAGCCATTCACGGCCGCTTTGATGTAGACCATAAATGGCCTTGTGTAATAAACAGACTTTATTTTTCTCTTTGATAAATCCCTCTGGTTGGGTCATATATATTTTCTCATTTAGGTTTGCATATAAATATGCATTCTTTACATCTAACTGACAATTAGTCCATCCATATAAACATACAAGTATAGTGAAAAATATTCTTATGATTGAAAAATTTACTACAGGACTGTAAACGTCATCAAAATCTTCACCTCTTTTCTGCCTGAATCCCTGTGCTACCAAACGTGCTTTGTATCTAACCACTTGATTCTTTTCGTTTCTTTTTAGCATATAGACCCATTTCTTTCCTATCATAGTTTTATTTTCTGGCTTTTCGACTAATTCCCAAACCTTTCTTTTCTTCATTGTGTCAATTTCTTCTTTCATTGCCTTATCCCATTCTTCAGCATTTACTGATTTTCGTGCTTCCTTAAAATTTAGTGGGATAACAATTTCTACGGAATTTGCCCCTTCAAACACGGAGCTAGTCTCCTGTTCTACAAAATTAACTTTCCCCAAGTATTCGTTTTTTCCACTAAAATCAAGCTTATCTTTTTCAAATTTAATATTTCTTGCCTCACAATACTTTTCAATATCATTATAGGATCTAAAACAGGTGTCTGTTCCCTCTACATAATAATATATGTCTGTACGTGTTCCATCTGGCCTTTTAACTGCTTTTCTTTGCCAGTTTTAAGTCTGATACTTCTTTCGGAGTAGATTTGTCATCTGACAACTTGATTTCTTCTCTAGAAGTTTCCTGTTCTTCATCTGATTCTGCTAATAGCTCAGATTCCTCTAGTCTTTTAAATTTAGTTTTTGATTTCTGTATCCAGGATGCCATTTGCTGCATATAGTTTTTCATCGAACTTCACATTACAGGTTTCTATTAATCTGCGGGCCCACCAGCGGCCGAGCGGTAAAGTCGCTGAACACTGGTAGTTCGGTCCGAGGTTCGAATCCCGCGAACGGGCTGGCTGCATGGGCGTTTTCGTGGTTTTCCCCATGTGTAACGTGTATACGAGCCAGTTTCCCTTAGAAAGTCCTCCACGAAAGGCATCCCTCCCCTTAGGCAGATAACCCTAGTGTGCTTTGCCAAAATTAAATACACACACTATTAATCTGCATTCTTCTGGCAGCCATATCCTACAACCCCTAGTTTCCTTCACATATCCTACCATGATTCCTTCTTTGCACCTCATTTGTAATTTATTTCTAATCTGTTTTGGCACGCCAACATAGGCTTTACAACCAAATATTTTAAAATAAACAACACTGGGTTTTCTATTTAGGAACATTTCATAAGGGATTTGGTTGCTTTTATGACATACTCTGTTCCACATATGTACGAACAGCCAAGAGCTTCTGCCTACCATTCTTTTCCCATTTTACCAACATTAAGCATAGCTTTAACTGCGTCTAATGCCATTCGGTTAAAACGTTCACACACACCGTTCCCTTCTGGGGTGTACGCGTTTGTGCGTTCGACATTAATTCCATTTTCGGCTAAGTACCCTTCGAATTGCCTGTTACAAAATTCCCTACTGTTATTGGTGTGTATACTTATTAATTTTCTATTCGTCAGTCTTTCTATTTGCCTATGATAATTCAATAAAGTTGTAGAACGATTCATTTTTATTTTTCATACAATACACTGTTACTAATCTACTATAGTCATCTACAATAGCAAGGAAATATTTACTCACACCCTTAGATGGAACTGGTAGTGGGCCACAAACGTCTAAATAAACCAACTGCAATGGTTTATCCGATCTCTTCGGAACAGTTTTAAAAGTTATTCTACTAGATTTAGGAATAATACACGATTCACACCTCTCCATTGGTTTTTCAATTTCTGGTAACCCTTTCACGCTTTGATTCTTTACTAGTATTCTTAATATAATCAAAATTTACGTGGCTAAATCTCTGATGCCATAGCATTGCACATCGTCTACTTTATTTAACTTTCCAATTTCTGTACCGTAACTAACCTTCCTTTTTATCTGCTTGCATATCTAAATGGTTTTACGTGATAAAGTCCGTCATATCGTTTAGCGTAGCATAATCTATCCCAATTATTAAAGTATATCCACATCTTCCCTTTTGAAATCACAAAATGAGCACCTGCCTTTTCTAACCTTGCTCCTGATAATAAATTTCTTCTTCGATTTGAATTATATAACACATTATCTAACCCAATCCAATTTATTCGATTATCTACTTTTACTGCAAATTTGATGGTACCCTTTCCTAATACTTTACTTTCACAATTTTCTACAGCTAAAGACATATGTATATCGTTTATTTCTTCAAAATTTGTCATTAAATTTATATTATTACAGAAATGAGTTGTAGCTGCAGTATCTACGACCCAATGAAATTTATCTGCGTTACCTCCTTTATCTGTAGTTGTTACATAATTTTCTACTAACATTAATTCTTTATCTTTAAACTGTCCATTTTTATTTTCTATTTTAAACTTCTGATTTTTACTTACATTTTCTTTACATTAAGCAATTAAGTGCCCAAATTTATGACATCTGAAACAAGGTCCTATTTTCATATACCCCATTTTTTTCTTAGATTTAGTTTTATTTTAAACTTTATCTTTCCCTGCATTTGAATTAATAGTATTAAACACGCTTACCTTGCTGTCTTCTAAATCGGCATTTACCTGGCGAAGTCGGCTTTCTTCCCTTACCAGTTCTTCAGCAATTCTTTCCAGCGTAAAATCTTCGTCCTTCCACCTATAGATCAACTGTACAATGCCGGAGTATTCCTCGGGTTATCTCCTTATTGCCTGGAATCCTTTAAAATGATCTGCCAAGTTGTGACCAGCTTCAGCCAACTTCTATGCAGTCATTCTTATCCTCGCGATGAATAATCCTATTTCTTCATTTGGCGTATATCTAATACTAAAAAAATTCATCCAGTAACAACTGAATTATCCTTGCTCTTGTTTTGGGTTCGAATTGCTTCTGTAGAACTTCCCATGCTTCTTTACCACATGAACATTCTTGTATCAGCGGTCCTGAACTCAGTTTTTAATTCCATAATATAATGTAGTGAAGGCTCTGTTCTCTCTCAGTGTGAATTCCTCCTGCTTTTCACGCCTTGTTGCACTTTTTATCTAATTCTTCTTCTTTGTCCTATATGAAGCTCCAACAATTTCTATCCAGTAACAGCATTTTCATATCGACTTTCCATCGATCCCAGTTGTCATGGTTTAACAGCTCAAAACCTTCAGGTAGTAATGACATCTTCAATTAAGTGTGAGCACAACAATTTGAACAAACTTCTAAGACAGGTCAGCTTCTTTTCGTGGATAATGGCCCTCTTCACCTACATTCCTTCAATGCTGAGTTGAACTAGATGACTGATTAGTTGTTGGCGCTGGGCCCATAACCCTGTTGGCAGTGGCAATAAAGGCAAAGCATATTTTGCTTCCCTTCAATAAAGCTAAGACTAATCTAACTAAAATTCATGCTTTATTCCATAAATTAAAATAAGCTAACACTGTAGCCTTTACATTTAAAATCATTGAGTGAAAGAAAACTAGCATAATGCTAACTCTTAATACCAAGACATTCGCTGATACCGGCGTACATATATATAATATTTGGCCAACCCGCCGATCTTGGCATCATCGGCAACCACGTTAGCTTACCGCCGATTGACCTCCGATCAAAATTTGCATGTGGAAAACTAAAGCCAACACTTAAAAGCCATTAATGTAATTTTTTATAGTTCTGTTAACTTTGTCTTGGGGGAATGAGGGCTTCATTAATCTTAATTTTGATGCATTAAATTATTATCATTCAAAAGTCAAAAGTGTCTACAGCAATTGAAAGTTGAATTCTATGCTTTTTCATTAGCAACAACACCTTAGAAAGGTTCCAAAATGTTTGGTTAAAAAGTTTGTCTGATAATCATTTTTCAACATTGAAAAACCTTCTAAATTGCATTTAGTGACTTTCTCTTTTGATTAATAGTTATGGTTCACAGTATGGAACCAAAGATTTTCTCAAGTGTTTTTGTTAATGGAAAAGTACCCAGCTTGTTTTATATGAATTCTGTAAGACAAATTGAAGTAAATGAATTTGATTTTAATTAATTGAGGATCAAACCTGAATATTTTTTCGATATTTATAATTAATGACAAAAATATAAAACTTGGTAATACTTTTCTAATATATTCAAACTTATAACTGACTAACACCAAATGCCTAGCATTATGTTTCAGACACCATGTAAATGAATTGCGTTCCAATTAATGATGAAAAATTATTTTCTGCATTTTAAGAAATTTATGCTTATGATTTTGAAAGATTCTATTAATTATTTTCATATTACTTCTTTTCACAGTGAGAGAGCTTTGCTCAATATGACTAGCACAAAAGAACCATCTCTTCAATCATTCTTAGAATTTGACAAGACATACTCAAGCTTTGAAAATTCTATTGCTGTTCAAGAAAATAAGAAAGGTACTGCTTTTCTTGAAAATATTAATTAAAAGTGCTGAAGACTTTTTATAGATTTTGTACCATTTTATAATGCAACATCTGTATTATAAATTTTAGAGGTAGTATTATAAAGTATTAGTATTATAAATTTTAGAGGAATACACATCATTAGACCATATAATATTTCTGGTTTTAATATTAAACTAAGTATGGGTGTAGACCTCTTGGTTGTACTACTTGAAATAATTGGACTAAATTGAAAATAATTTTACACCAACATGTAGCTGCACAACATGCTATGATATATTTTGATCAGAAAATTATGCTGTAGAAATATGGACTAAATTGAAAATAATTTTACACTAACATGTAGCTGCACAACATGCTATGATATATTTTGATCAGAAAATTTTGCTGTAGAAATATTGTCCCTTTCAACATAATTCTTTACCAAATCTACTATTCCATATGTATTATTGTGGGAATTAATGTTACAAGTCATTTTTCTGTAGGTTGTGCATAAGCTCTACTGCCTTTCCCCCCATCTTCACCACCACATTCAATGGCATAAAATCCGGTTCTTTTTAATGTAGACTTGATTTTTGGAAACAGAAAAACATCAAATGGAACTAAACTGCAGGAGTATGAGGATGTTCTAAGGATTGCAGTCCTGCTCAGCCAAAAAATGACTTAATACTCAGAGCATTATAAGCAATCTTGTTGTCATGATGAAGAATCCATGCGCTATTTCTTCCACATTTCAGGTTCTGTTCTTTTCATTCATTCACAATAAACTCCTTATAATAGACTTAGTCAAACACTCATTTCACATGAATAATTTCTCAGATATATAGAAAATATTTCCATCATTGCTTTAAACTTGAATTTGCTCTGACATGTCTTCTTTTTCCTTGGTGAAAAGAAACTTTTCCACTGCATAAATTGGTGTATAGTTTTAGGATAACATTAAAAAAATAATGTTTTTTGCAGGTTATAACACTTTTTTTACAAACTTTGGGTCACTTTCAGTCTTTTTAAGTCTCCAGTCTTTTTAAGAACTTTAGTGCAACTTAAATATCCTTTTATATAGAAGGCTTCTTGGCACCATTTTTTAACAGACTCATTCAAAACTCATAACACTTTTAATAGACTATTCAACAAATTTCTTATCATAAATGTAAAATTTGTTAAATAGTCTCTTTTCATGTTTGCTAATTCAGCCATGACTCAAATTCTAAGCCCACATTTTTTCAGGATATCATCAAATTTTCACTTCCATTTTGGATATGTGAAGATGACCATTGCATCTTCAAACTCTTCTATAAATCTCATTAACAAAAATTTTTATACACAATAAACAATCATTACTACACATTTTTTGTAACAGCTTTTGCATCTGTAATGAATTTATCAGATTTTTTCATATAATTTCACATTCACATGTGGTTGATAATCACATTTATCATGATTTCAATGAAACAGAAACATGTTTCAACTTTAGACAAAATCTGCTGCTGAACTGAATAGTTCATTTCCATGAAATATTAACCTAGAAACACAATCAGTCATGTATTCCTTTTTGTTTCTAAACTAACTGCAGGGAGAAAGGAAGTGAGTTAGCTTATTTTTTAGAGTCACATCATAGTATTACTGGTTATATAGACGATTTCAAATTAATAGACTTCAAGCTGTAAATGAAATGAAATTGATTTTTAACCAACAAATGTAATTAAAGTTCTATGAATAAATATTCTATACAAAAAATGAGGCTAAATTAAATAAATATGTAAAGAAATAGTTACCCTAAAATATTTGTATATATATATATATATATATATATATATATATATTTAATCAGTCTTTGGCTGACTAGTTTTCCAGCACTTTTTTAGAATTTAAAACCCTAATGATTTGAAACCGGGTGAATGTTTTGTTATCTTGTTAAGATTTGTGAGAATAAATAATAAATCCTCATATTTCAAAAAATAACATTAAAGTTCACAATTTTGTTTAATAATTATTTGTTAAAATGACTTTAGATTTATAAATTATTATTGCACAAATATAGTACAACAGAACTTTTAGAAATACATTTTTAAATATATACAAAGGGTATATCTTACCTTTTATTACAAAATACAATTCATTAATAGTAATAATCACTTAATCTTGTTTTTGAAAAAAGATTTTTGACAAATGTGAAAAAATATGTATATCCTTATGTCACCTTTACTTTCACAACTGTTGGTCATAGACATATACTTCCAGGTACAAAATTGTTTTAAGTGATGCAAAAATATATGTTTTAGTTGGTATAAAGAGTCAGACTTTATACATCTACCTAGCCTACTTGCATTTAATAAAATTTTGTAACCATTATAAAAAGTAAAATTAAAAAGTGTGACTTCTCTATGACAAAAACTGACCCGGATATTTCATTTTGAAGTTGAAAATCATATTCAGGGGCTATACACAAAATGAATTGCAAGATGTTTGCATTGATTTTTATGTATCTAAAAACATCAGTTTAGAAAAGATTTTTGATCTTAATAGATTAAGTGACATACATTTTTATGCAAATTGTTAAGCACATTAATGACTGTACAGTTTTTTTTTTTTTCCCCAAGAAAAGGAGATCTTATTCTGAAAATCTTGTAGAATTCATGTTCTAGAAAATCCTGGCAGGTTTCAGTATTGGCATATAGTCACTGGTAGCATGATATGAATAAATTTAAAATTATAAATATTTCTAGCTTAATTATATATGATTATTAGATAATTGTAATAAAATTTCATGAGAATGTTTGTAATATAGTTTTAACATTAGAAAACTTATATATAATTACTTGAATATTACTTCTTTTGATATACCATGTGTAACAAAATTATAAAATGTTACACATTACTAAATCACAAAAGACTATCATTCATTGGTATATAAGTGGAAAAAGTCAACCTCAAATCTTAATTTATGTATCAACCTAACCCTCAAGGCAAACTGAAAATTATATCAAAAATTGCAAATTTCAAAATTAAATATCTCAGCCAATTTTTATCATGACGGAATCTATCATGACTTTTGTAATTAGTATAGGGATGGGCATCATATAAAAAGTCTGATTTTTGAAAATTTACAACTGTTAAAACATTGCATCATTTAAAATAATTTTGTAACTGAAAATATAAGTCTACAGTCAATGGTTGCAAAAATGTAAGTAGGGTAAGGACTTTGTAGACACAGTGTATGTATGTATGTAATATGCTATATACTAATTATATCAAATTATGTGTTCAAATTTTTTAATTACACATACTTTTGTAGGGTTTATATTTATTTTAAGTTTAAACTATCTTTCCTGTCAAGCCTTACTTTCCCCTGGAATTGCCAATGCCAGAGTATGTAAATTTTAGTAGAACGCGTAAAGTATTCAAAATAGTCAGCAGAAGTATTCTGAGTTAAATAGAAGGGAAACGAGTTCGAAAGTGTGCTTTCTTGCTTCACGAGTATGGAGGTGGCTAGTTAGAAATTGAAGAACCACGCTGTGTGCTTGCCTCGGCAGATAGTTAAATCTTTCAATGTAATATTCAGAAGTTTCCTGAATTATCAGCAGTATCTTAGAACGTGGTTAGGTTAGTTACATTTAGAGAGCCTCGTAGGTAGTCACTTGTTATTATTCATTTTTAGTTTCTTATTTTTATTTTACCGCCGGGTCGGCGTAGTTTGTGAGCGTCAAGAGCACGCATCTGTAATTTCTAAAGTTGAATAAAAAGGGATTTAAACCCTTCTCAAGACTTTGTGTACTTTCCAGTTCATAGCAGTCACCACTATTGTTGCGTGCAGGTTGGGAGCGCGCAACATTGCACTTTAATTAAATATAAGTTGATGTATTAGTCAAATACATTTATACTTTATGCTATTTATAGTTTTTATCCTCTTCATTTGTAATTCATGTGAATATTCATATTTTTGTTTTTCTCTTTTTCTTCTTTAGTTGGTTCAGAGAGAGTGAGAATCTTAGAAATTTCAATCACTTAATGGCAGTATCTGTTTAGCTTAGTATTTGTCTTATTCTGCTAATTTATAATCTGTATTTTCAAATACTTCTAGTTAGGATTAATTACCTTTAAAACTGGAAATATACTTGTAAATTGAAATATAAAAACACCTAAATCCCAATGGTATTTTTCTCATTTAAATTTTTAACAGTGCATCTGAGTATTTATACATTAAACTAAAGGGCTGCTTTTTTATTATTTCTGTTTATTCACTCTTCCAAATAAATAAATAAATTATAATACAGTTGTGAGTATTATGATTTATCCATAATTCATTATAAAACAATGTATGCTTTAACTTTTTTTTAGAAAAAAAGTGCATAAATAATGGAATTTTTTAAACAATTTTATGCTGCAGATAACAACCGATCTAATCAACGAATGAGCAATGCAGGTTCAAATAGTGTTACTCAGTCTCAAGAAACTACTGCCATGTCACATTCATATCGTAGTCTTCCTACATCTATTCCTATACTGAAACCCAGAGTTATTGGTACTCCAGCTACTTGTCGAAATACTCGACAGCAATATTCAGAGTGTTCTATGTACTGTTGTTCTCCATCTGTCAGCCAAAGAAGAGCTATGGTTCAAATTAATGAAGAAATCTTACATGCAAGACATACTTATGATGAAAAATCACAAGTACCTTTTCATTCAATAAGTAATTATTATTTTCATTTGATTTTTAATATTTAATTATTTATTTGATTGAAAAACTTTTAAAATGTTTTATAACACTTCTTATTTAACTGTTTTTATAGTTAACAGATAGGATATAACAATAATTTCCTTTCCTAAAAGGACATACAACTGAAAAGAAAGGAAACAACTGGAATTTGAAAGGATCATTAAAAAAGTGAAATAGCTTTTAAACTGGAATTTATTCATATTATTTGGGATTTTAATAATATAATTTCAATATAGCTGTTCTGAATTATTTCCATGTAAGTTTTAAAATGTTTTTCGTCTTTGACTGAGAAGAGCAGAAAATAGTATTTTCAGGTTTCGGGGATGTAATTAAGTTTTTAATATAAAGCTACAAAAACATAAAATATTGTCTTTAAAATTTTCTAATTACAACATAATTAACTTCACATCATATGTGAAAGGTAGTATATAGCTCCTGTTTCAGTCCCCTTCATCTTCTCCTCCCAGTAAAAATCTGCTAGTAAAATAAATTTGTGTGCTGAGACCAGTATGAATAGTACACCTTTTATATTTTTAACAGCTACTACAGGCTTGTTGCTTGAAACTCTCCAGTTATGAGTACATACTTTTTAGAAAATTTTAAATATTGCGACATTTAATTGCATTTATTATTTCTCCTACTGAAACTAATACATTACAAAGTCTCTAATTCGGACGTCCATTATCCGGAATGATCTCTAATCCAGATCTCAAAGCCATAAACTTACGCATGCGCATTTGATGTGCTCATCTGCTACGCATGCACGTAAAACCAGTAAAGCATTTACCCATGTGCGCTTCCAATAGTGAAGAAAGTAACAGAGAACGTTATTGAAAATGAAAAAATACAACCTAAGTTTTAATAAATAAAAGTTTGCTTTATGTACTTTTCTGAAGATACATTTCTGTTATACATAAAATTCATTTTGATGAAAATTATTAAAGTAATATGATTTAAACTACTTTTACTTAAAGTAAAGTAGCAGCAAAATGTTACCATATGAAAATCAAATTGTTAGATAAAAATTTCCAATTTTATGATTTCTATGAAGAATTATACACTGCTGGTCATCCAAAATGCAGTAAAAGAACAAGAGATATCAGAGCCATATTTACTGTATAAATAGCATAAGTAACCAGGGTAAACTGGTTAAAATTATGGACACACTGAACTTGTGAAATATGAAGAAATCAGTATTTTGTGTAACCACCATGTTTGGTGTATGCTTGTTAACAAAGCATGTCTCATTACCAGGCATGCACCTGTATAGTGCACACAAAAGATTTTTTTTATATGCACTTTTTTACTATAGTACAAATTTTTGAAAGATAATAGAGATAATTATGAATAATGCAGTATATACTTTTTTAATATATTTTAAAAGTTATCTAGATTCTAAATAATATTATTTATTCTGAATAAAGTTTGATAAACATTTATCATGTTTGTTGCTTTTTTAGATCTCAGTGAATCTCATGTTTATAGTGAGTTAGAGAAGGATACATATAATGCAAATGTTGAAAGTTCTAGTGATTTCTCAGCAACTGGTACAGAAAGTACAAGTTCACCATATGAGCCTACAACTGCTGTTTCATATTCATCTGCTTTTTCTGCAGAAAAAGCAGAAGAACATTCTGTTCATCAAAATCAATTAAAACCTAGTCGGGATATGATGATGGCTTCAAGAGGGAAAAGTTTGAATGATAAAAACTCAACAGAAGAAAATAGCAGTGTTGATAATGAAAAAGTTCCCATATCAAATCAGTTTGATCAAAAAATAAAGAACATTTTCAAAAATGATAAAGTGTCTATGGTAACTGCTGATTCGGGTAAAAGGACACGGAGGGGCACTAAACCATTTGCAAGAAAAGGTATGTTTCTTTTTACAAATGTTTAAACTTCTAATTGTGTGAATTTTTTAATCTATGTATAATACAAATGCATACATTTTTAAATGTATTTTCCGTGTAAAAGTTTAAGTTAAATTGTTTATGCAAAACTGTCTTTAATGATAGCACATAAATAGTTCATTTGTTGTTTTTCATACTGAATGTACAAGAGTGCCTAGCTTCTTTTTCTTCCTTTTTTTTTTTTTTTTTTTTTTTTTTTTTGGAGGGAGGGGAACCTGACTACCTTAAATGAGTTAAAAAATTAAGGTGAAACTGCGAGTAGTAGTTTAATTAGATAGAGATTCTCTACAGTGATTAAAGTGACAATGACATCCACTTAAAAAAAAAGTGGATGAATTTTAGGGCTACATCTTTATATAAAATAACAGCTAATAAATAAATAAATAAACATTTTAATATAAATATATGTACATTTTAAAAAAAGTGGATGAATTTAGGGCTACATCTTTATATAAAATAACAGCTAATAAATAAATAAATAAACATTTTAAATATAAATATATGTACATTTTAAGGGTATCTAGCTTGCTTCTGAATAAGTTTGGTATCTTTGACAGGGTTAAAAGCAACAGAAAAATCCAACAAGTATGGTAACTAAATTAGAAAAAAAACATTTTATAAAATTATAACTAGAAAAGAACATACTTAGGAATTTTAGAATTAGTTTCTTATATAAAAGTCTTTATTAACAACAAATTAGTAAATTCTTTGTAATTTTTAATATAAAACTACTTGCATTATAATGGTACATAACATGCTTCTGAATAAGTTGGGTGTCCTTGATAAAGTTAACAGATTAAGGAAAGTCTATAACTTTGACATTTTAACAGAGAAAGAAACTCTGTAAAGTAATGGCTAAGGTAATGATAGTTTCTCTGTGAATTCTACTTAGAAGCAATACCTACTGAAGAAATAATGTTTTATTGCATGAATAGATATGTCTAATTCAAAAGCAAAATAATACAGTTCATTCAAATTAAACAAAAGATTTAATGGCTTCATTAGCTTAAGGAAGTAAAGCATTTAACTGTAGCATTCATTCAAATTTCAAGTTTATTTTTGATCTAGAAAATTCTTCACTGTATACACTGAAGAGCCAAAACATAATGACCACCTACTCAAGCCTTCGTATGGGTAACTAATAACTAGCTTTGGTATGGGAGCCATAAGTTCTTGGTAGATGACTGGAGACAGATTGTACTAAATATCTAAGTAGCAGTCATGCAAATTCGAGATATTCTGACATGGTGTTGTTTGAGCTCTGAGCTGCTCCATGACATCCCAAATATGCTCTATTGGCTTAAGATCCAGTGAGTTAGGTGGCCATGACATTAATTGGAATTTATCCTTATGCTCCTCGAACCACTCTAACACAGTTTGAGCCTTGTTACATGGGGCATTGTCCAGCTGGAAGATCACATTTCCAGTTGGAAAGACAGATGCTATGTAAGGATACAACTTATCCGCAGTTATGTTCAGATAGTCTGCAGCTTTCATGGTCTGTTGTACCTCAACTAAGGGTCCTAGAGCCACCCATGAAAACATCTCCCAAAACATAATACCACCTTCACCAGTCTCTGTATGACCTGCTTACCCCTATAAGGGGAAGTAACTGTTCGCATGGAAGACAGCACACCCTGACATGACCATCAACATGATAAATGAGAAATCATAATTCATCCAACCAGGCAACTATCTTCCACTTATCCACAGTCTAGTCTCGATGTTCCCGGGCCCACTGTAGGTGTAGTTGACAATGATCTTGGTCAATAGAGGCACCAGAGTAGAATGTCTGCTGTGCAATCCCATATCCAACAGTGTACCCTGAATTGTGCATTTCGAAGCACTTGTGGTTAGACTTGCATTGTATTTGGGCTGTCAGCTGAGCCACTGTTTGGCACCGATTTTGTATCAAGCAGGACAGTTTCTGATGTCCTTTTCCTTTGATGACGTGTGGACATCCAACACTTTGGTGTCTACTGCTGGTTTCACCTTCATTCATCAACTTCACATAAATATTAACAACAGATCACGAATAACCTGCCTGTTGTGCAGTTTCAGATACTCGTTCCAAGTTTTCGGGACATTACAATCTGTCCTCTACAAATTTCGCCTAGATCAGCAGCCTTTCCCATCACTCACAAAAGTAAGTGCAGGAATGATTCTTAACCTTCAGCAGCAGTTAAATACTATTCCCACTTAATCACGTGCCCTCTACATAATGGAGATGAGTTCATTGAAAAATGTGGGGATGGCTATAATGTTTTGATTTGCCACTGTATATATGCAAGGTAAAGTTAAAACTTGAGCTTATTTGAAATACTCAAATTCTAGACATATGATGTTGTATAAACATGACATGCCACATTATTGGTTTAACTGGTGGCAGATTTGTACATTTTGAAAATAAATATGTGTGATGTATGTAGTGAATTTGCTCAAACTGAAAAGATATTGTATCATTTTAACTGAAAATAATTCAGTAATTTCTTTTCAAGAATGTGAAATAATTAAATCTAAAAAATTCTCAAAAGTCTTTGCAACATTCATATTTTGCCTTTTTAATCCTATTCATTAGTAAGATAAACTTGTGGAAGTTTAATCCCTTCTTTATTCACTTGTGGAAGTTTTTGTTGGACAGAAAACTGCTTTGAACAATTTCTACTTGTCAATAAGGATTCACTTGTACTTTCAATGTTTTAAATTGCATTCTTGACTGTTGATTTTATTATAACATTATTATTTTTCCCCTATGTACAATAAATTATTTTTTCTTTTCTTTCCTAATGTAAATTTGATCTTCTGTCCATTGTGAATTGTACCTATATTAAAATTTTAAAAAAATCAAGGTAAAGTTTTCCATTGTATCCTTGATAATGTTTTGCAGTTAACTCATATTTTTTTAATACAGTTTAAACTCCTTAAAAATTTCTTTTAACATAAGCTGCATCTGATTTTTGTTAAGGTCGAAAAATGGTTTAAGTTACTCGAATATGGTAAAGCACACAAAGGCCATCTGCCTAAGAGAAGGGATGCCTTCATGGAGGAGTTTTGAGTAGTCTGGAAATATATTTTCAATTATGTGCCAAGTGAATTGTAATGAATTTTCATTGAAGTAAAAAAAATGCCTTTGGATGTACTATTTTCCAGTATTTAATAATTTAAAGGTCTTAAAATAATACTGTAGAAAGTTTGAAATAGGTGATTTTATATACTATACATTAAAATAATTTTTATCTAGTAAGGTTATATTTACTTCAGACGTTGTACCTCATTAAATGCATAATTAAATCTCTTTTTCATAATTATTTTAGTAAAGTTAATCTTTTTTTAATCAAACGTCTCCTTTATTACTATAATCTATTTTCATTATTAGTTGAGCATCTGAAAATTAGTTTTGGACTATTTTAAGGTGTATATGCTTTCAAACATATAATCTCATAGGCTATGATTATTTTTAATATAAATAATTAATATTTTAGCTGAGAAAAATTTAGATGAAAAAATATGTTGTTATATCCATTATAAATAAATTTCGCTATATTGTTTTAGATTTACCCAAATCAATAGAATATTTAAGGCTGTTGGAATTGAATACTACAATTGGATTTGAGTACTGTAACACTTTACAGTGTGCTCTTCGTACTGGTCCTCGCTTCAGTTACCTTATACCTGTGTCTAAATATATGGTGGAAGAATACCTCACACTTCAATTTAAGTAAGCATTTTATTCTTCTTTTCCTCTGTTAATTTTGTTAAAAATAAATAAATGAATAAATAGAATAAAACTAAAAACAAAAATCTGAAAGCTTTCAGATTTTACAAGTATATTATGTCCAAAAGAGCTTTTTTTCCTATTTACACATACATACGTGTTTTGAAGTCAAGTCATTTTTCTATTCTGAATCTTACGAGGGTAAGTTGAAAAATAAGTTTCCCCTGTCGACTGTAGTCAGAGTTGTGTATGAAAGTCAAAAAATAGAATGAGACATTAAAGATATGATATACCTTTATTTTTCCACATAGGTACCAAGTACATTTGAGACATTTGTCATATCGCTTGATAAGCTTCAAAAAGCCCTCCAGGAAAAAAATCAGGGCTTTGCATATGGAAGAAGCGTTGAACGGCTTGTTTCACTTCAGTATTGCTTCCAAAGCGCCTTCCCCCGAGATTTTTTTTCAAAGCCGGAAAAAACAGATGGAAGTCGCTTGGTGCAGGCGCTCCCAACCAAGAGTTGCAATATGGTTTTGCGTTGCCGTCGCCAAATGTGGTCTGGCATTGTCATCCAACAGCAGAACGCCAGACGTGAGAAGGCCAGGCCGCTTTTTCCGAATCGCCTCTTTCAATTTCGACAGGGTGTCACAGTAGCGCATAGCATTGATGGTTCCAACCTCCAAAAAGTCCAGCAACAAAACTCCTTGGGTGTCCCAGAAAACTGTGAGGAGCATTTTACCTGCAGAGGGAGTTGTCTTGAACTTCTTTCGGACAGGTGATGACGGATGTTTCCACTCCATAGATGCGGCTTTCGATTCTGGCGTGAAATGGTGGACCCACGTTTCATCCCCGTCACAATCCGAAACAGAAAGTCATTGCCAACTTCATGGTAACGCACGAGATGTTCCAGGCTGACCCCCATGCGTTGTTTCTGAATGTGCGACACCATTTCCACACTATTTGCTTCGACATCACACCTGGCCCATAGACTTCCACGAGGCGGTTATGAATTTCTGTTCCTGATACTCCACGTGCCCATTCATAGCGGATAACCGCTCTCATTTCCTCCTTTGACCACGAATTCAAAACGCACCTTCTCTCCATACCTACCAGGGCTCAAATGAGAGGCTGGTCTCTGCTTTGCGCAGGCACTGCAACAGCGCTATCTGCTTGATTTGCAGCGACTTCTACCCAATGGTGTATCGGTGACTTGCACGTTTTCCTGCTGTGTCGCCTTTTGCCCATAGCCGTTCAACGCTTCTTCCATATGCAAAGCATGAATTTTTCTTGGAGAACTTTTTGAAGCTTATCAAGCAATATGACAAATGTCTCAACGTACTCGTACGAGAATAATAAAATAAAGGTATGTCATATCTTAGTCTCATTCCATTTTTTGACTTTCATACACAACTCTGACCACAGTCGACAGGGAAAACTTATTTTTCAACTTATCCTCATATACTCCACTATATATATCTTTAGTGTTATGTTTCATATTACAGCCTTGCTGTGCCTCTAATTGTGGATCATTGCCAGCCAGATACAAAGCCTGTTGGGTGCCCAGTACCTCAAAATGGTGCTGGTGATTTACCACATGATTATATCAGGGAACAAAATCTGACAGAGGTAAATTTATACATTTATATATATCACTGGTATGATTTATTTTAAATAATTTAATGCTGTATTCAAACTTTTAAACGATTAAACATTAAGTTAAAACATTTTCCAAAGTGAGAATAATATATATGTCATTTTTGTATTGTAGATCTAAATTAAATCAATTATTAATTATGTTTCAAATAAATCTAGTCATTTTGAGAACAGTGTTGCACAGCATTCCATGCATATTTCAATACAGCCGAAGGAAAAAATATATATATATTGTCTCCAGGGATATTGAGTTAAAATAAACCTCCTACATATATATACTAGAACATACTACATATATATACTAGAATTTAAACAATTATTAATTATGTTTCAAATAAATCTAGTCATTTTGAGGACAGTGTTGCACAGTATTCCATGCATATTTCAATAAAGCCGAAGGGGGGAAAAATATATATATGTGGTAATACCTTCTACAAAAGACATCTAAGAAATTAGTTGAAAGGACAGCACATTTAATTACATTTAAAGTATTTATATTTTTAACAAAAAAGTTAGTATAAACTGAATTAACGTCTTCAATACATTTTTATTTACGTCTTTATTGTCGTCGTTCTTTTTATTTGAGTCTTGAGTTTTTACTCATCTAGTTGCCAACTGACAAAACAAAAAATAAAACATTAAAAGACAGGGTTCGTACACATTTCCTTACATGAAAATTAAGGACTTTTAAGGACCATCAAAGAAAAAATTAAGGACCTATCAGAAAACAAAACAAAACAAAACAAAAAAAATGAAAAAAAAAAAAAAAAAAAAAATACGAACTAGAATAAAAGCAATTATCCATTTAAGAAACTAACAGAAGTGTGTATTATGCAGTATTATTAAATTCAATTTAATACTTAACATAAAACAATTTTGAAAATTAAACTAACTCCCTACAAGTTATGAAGTAGATAACATTAAATTAAGAACATAATTTCTTGAAAAACTTGTATAAGTGTATTTCACACTAATAACAGCCACAGATATTTTAGAGATTTACATGATTATTATTTAACTTATTTGAGATTTATTTAAACACAGTCAACTACTATTATAATTGCAATGTAAGAATATTTTGCAGATTAAAATAGCAGATTTGTAAACATACAATTTATTTCTTTGGTTTTTGAAAGATACTAGAATAACTAACTATGCAATAAAAGAATACAAAACATTTATGCATTTTTTAAATCTTAAATTTTTTTCAGATATTTTAAAACATATAATTTATATGTATCTATTTCCTTTTCTTTAACTATTCTTCTTAAGTTCATTTGTTTTTCATATCAAATCAATGTTACTGCTGGTCTCTGCTTCATCTGCTAAAAGCAATGTACTTCATTAATATCTTCAATATCCCTTTGAAGAAAATTTTACTTCTGCTTCATATAAACAATTTCTTCCTCAAAAATCTTTCTTTGCTTTTTGAATTTTCAGATTTAGTTTAAGATTTTTGTTAAATACTGCATGTATTTAGATCTTGCAGAAGCTCCTGCTGATCTCATTTCTTTATTAATTTCGATATTACGAATACCTCCAGAAAATTTTACATGCAATCAAATACTATGTGCGTTGAAGAAATGTATGATGAGTCACTTAAATTTTCAATTTCAACTTGCTTTATTTACAGAGAAGCCCCCTTTCCACAAAGGCCTGTCAATGTGACAAGATAAGAATCATTTTCACTATTTTCCATACTTTAGAATAGTGAAAATCATGAAAATAAGAAGTGAGAAATGTGTCAAGAAAAAGATTTTGAGAATCAAAAGTAGAAAATTCATGTAAATATGTCTTAACTACTTTGTCTAGAATCTCTCCAAACTGCAGCAATTTCATCACAATTATCTTGTAAAACACGTTTATTCCGCGTTAAATACGGTTAGAACTATTTTCATTTTGTTCTGGGCTTTTTCTGGACTTTTAGCCATCAACTGTGGGTCTATACAAGATGCGTTTCGAATAAGAGAATAATTTATTGGACATTTAGCCATTAAGTGTTGTACCATTGTTAAGACACATTGTTGACCTTGTTTCAATGCAAACTTACAGCTTGTGAAATTCCTTCTTCTTGCGGCATTTATCATTCATTAACAGCTCAGCAATGAATCCCAAATAAACTTTACTTTTATTATTATAACAATTTGGATCATTAAAATTAAATTTATAAAGCTTTTCGGTACTATTCGGTTTCGAGGGCCGTAAAAAAATTGCAGCGAAAATGTACGCGCAAAAGCGCCAAATCTACCAACCGCGCCCATTTAACAGCGCGCCAAATCTAGTGTACGCGCTGATTTCAGATTGCGATAGTTCTATATTTCTTAAGACGCCCTTGAAATACTAATTTAATTTTAAAATTATTTTTTGATTTTAAATCATTTTTTGATATCCTATGGATTTCATAATTTGGGAATTGCCCATGACGAAAAGTCGGCAATAGAATTTTGGGTAAAGTGCAGAATCACCCACTGCTTGACGCGTTAAGAATTGCAAATACTCGGTATCCATGCGCACATCAACCTATTTTTACTTTAAAAAAATCCTAGAATTGCACAAAAATGGCACTGCACACAGCCTTGACTTTATCTATGTACACATCGACCTATTTTCACTTAAAAAGTAAAAAGAAAAATTGACAAAAATCTAATTGTTTTTACCCTTGTAAAAAGCGGCAAACAAATGAGTGAGCGATTCTGCACTTTACCGAGAATATTTTCAAAGGAAAGGCATCATTCATTATAGAAAATTACCTTTGAACAACCAACGACATGAAATTATGCTTTAGCGATAAGTTGGTAGCGAAATAGCGATGCAGGCATCCATTCAGTTTGTTTAGCAATTTTTATATAAATTATAATAATGATCTGAAATAGTTATTTACTCTTATACTTCCATTCAGTCATGTTTAGCCTTTTTCATATAAATTATAATAATAAAAAAAGTATTATATGAAATTAATCTTTCATCTAAATTAAAACATCAGTCTTAGATAGTTATTTACTATTGTACTTCCTTTCTTGCCGCAATTATTAGGGTTGCCGCAATTATTTTTGGCAGCATTGGCATCAACAATAGTTTGGCGATTTTTTACGGCCCTCGAAACCGAATAGTAACAGATTTTCTGCTTTAGTTATTTTTTAATATTCTAGTTTCAAAATTTTAAAAAGCTAAAAGCAATCATTTACAAGTTTTAAGATATCTTCAGCATAAAAGGGAATAAGTGGTTTATCGCTTTGATAATATTCAAGGAAAAGCAATAATATTTCCGACAGAGAGAGAAAACAATTTAATTTGATAAGAAATGTTTTATCCTTAGTTGCCTCCAAAATATTTGAGAAGGATTTCAATGAATTTTTTTTAAAACTGCCCCATTTCAACTTTTTTAAAGTATAGTAGCAAGTCATCCCATATTTCAATGGCTCTTTCAACTGCTGGGACATTTTGCAACCATCGGTAACAGCAGAACTTCACAGCAGAAAATTTTAATTAAAACATTATTTCTTTATCTATCAGATGATAGAGCAAAGATAAAAATTCTACAATAATTGGTTTTATTGTTAAACAAAAATGTATGAATTTTTCTTACGCATTATATTTTAACACTTAAAAAATTCACTATATCGATAAAAAATTGAGACACCGCGAAATATTCTAGGCAAGCATTCCTGCAGAGATTCCGTTACATCGCTAAAATTGCCATAAGAATGCTATATTGGCAATACCATGAACACGTTTTCTCCGTGTAGCAACCATTTCCGCTTATCGGCCATTTTCTTTTATTTATTAATCTTCCGTTTCTTTTATTTTTTTCCTTATCATTTCAACACTGACTTTTTTATCAGGATTTAGCTTTTATTTTAATTCTATTATAAATAGGTGAAATTAGCTTAATAACAATAGATAATTTCAATCATTATCACAATGAAATTTTATATCGACCAACTATTTGGATAACTGATGAAATATTAAAATTCAATAACATTCTTCTGAAATATTCCTTTTATAAAGATACTTATAAAATTCTATACTGTGCCCTTGTGCAATTTGAAATTATCGCCACACCAAATGACCCGTTAACTACTCATCGTATATGTCCCATTTACTGCTCATCATAAGTTCCAAAGTACCAATCCCTTATGCAACGGATACCTTGTGCATAGGATTAACCAAATACTTAATTGTCTATTGAAGCTTCAAAACGTATTTCCGAACTTCACTTTTTCTCGGCTAGCGCGTTACCGAATTTGCCCTTGGCGACCTAAAATCGAAATGGAGCCAACAGATTTCCCGCGAAATCGATAACAGACCCTCTGCAGAAATAAACTCATAATCCCGATATCCCATACATATAGTATGTGCAAAAGAGAATAACTACTCCGTAGAAGGTGATAAAAAATTAATTTATGGCTTAATTGAAACAAACACAGAAATTAAGCTAAGCAAAAACCGTGTAAAAACAAATTGAAATGATAAAACGAAACTTAATTTTCATGTGAATTTTCAGCGCTGACTCTCCCATTCTAGAAATTTCAATTTGTTTCAGACAAAGACCACATTTAGCTTTAAAGGATTGCCATCCATCAATATCCAGTCTTTGTAGTCAGCTTGATGAAGCCACAGTTTATTGAAAATGCACTTTCCAGGCATCTCGTTCCTATTGGCGTCGGAAGGGTTGTGGCCTTCCAGGTTGGGAATTGCTCTAATTTTGGCAAATATTTTCAGAATCCCCCCCCTTTTTTTTCCTCGAGCACCTTCATCATCACTTTCGCCTCTTAAAGAACTTCCGGCTTCACGCTTTCGTCACAATCTGCCTAAATTTATGGATAACACCTGTTTCGAAAGATTGGGTGAATAGCCAATCAGACACCCGATACTTTCGTACTAGGGTAGCTAATTGTTTTTTTTTTTTATCGTTTGGAACGCAAATCCGCCAACAGATTGGTTAAGAGCCGTGTAATTTTAATTCCATATTCATGAGAAATCGTCAATTCACACTTAGAATGGCAATCATTAGAAATGATAAAATGTCAAATGTCAAATGAGCAAAATTAAGGACCGTTTATTCATTTTGGCCAAAATTAAGGACTTTTAAGACCAAAATCATTTTGAAAAATTAAGGGACTTTTAAGACTGTACGAACCCTGAAAGAATTATCATGATGAGCATCTGTACACTCTGGTATTCACCTGGCAACTATATATACTAGAAGAAAATGTCAGGTAAATTGAATACTGTAATGTTTTATAGGTTAATTTAATTTTTCTTAAAATTATATTATTATTTAGGTACGTGAATCTTAATTGAGAAATGCTTTATTACAATAATTGAAAAAATATATCTTTAGAAATTACGTTTATGCAGCTGTATCCCCACCTCTGTTGATTCATTATTTTTGTATTACTGGTGGTTTATTAAAGCCAAAAATTATTGTTAAATACGAAATAAATTGTTCATAAGTGCCAAAATATGATGAATACAGATATTCAAAAGAGAACAGTCAAATTCTCTCCCTTTCTGTCTAAATCAAAAGGATGTATTGTTTTTACATACATTACAGTTCTGGCCATAAACATACATACATTATGTAGATTGATATTTTATTGTTTTTGTAGTGTCTATGGAAAGCAAAATTTGTATTGTTCTGCTATTTCTTGAAACTCTCTGATGCTACAACATAGGTATTTTTTAATTGTAGTACATTTTTATTGCTGTATTGTTTCCAGGGATTGAGTTAAAATAAACCTCCTCCAAAAAAATTGCATTTATATGTAAGAAAAAGAAATTTTATGTAAATGTGCACAATTTAATATGCACAACCAATCACTTAATACTGATAATGCCTTATTGTATGTAATTTATCACTGAACTTACTGAACACTTATTACTGAAATTTATGAAAAACAAACTTTTACTGATGCCTTCTTTTTTATTAATTACTTTTACAGTTTTATAAATTTAAGTATGTACCTCTTTTCAACATAATTGTTTCCCTAATTAGAGGATGAGTCATAGGTCAAGGTCATTGGTACCTATCTTTACCAAGAATTTACTGTTAGCAGCATTTTCAACAAAAGTTTGATTTTAGTATGGATAGATCTTATTAAAATAATAATAATTTTACTTTTATATTGTGTGTGTATATATATATATATATAACAAACAGCATGTACATTATATAATGGATTTTATTAAAAAAATATGATTTATGTAATAGGAAGTGGATCCAAGCTGGAGATTACCAGTAGGTCTATATCTACATAGTACATACAGATTCAGAGTTCAAGCACGAGCTGTTCAAGGTTCAGATACGGTAAGAGTGTATTCATATTAAAACCATCAATAAAAATAATATATGTTATTTTATGTTACTGCTTTGTTAATAGAGTTAGCTTAAAGTGCTGTAATATTGTAATAATAGGTTTTTTTATTTTAATTATGCCAAAGCACACATCTAGGCCTGAGGTAGGGGTTCCCAATGGTATTCACTTTGTGGGGATCAAAAAAATTTTAAAGATGGTACGTGATGAACAAGGGGTTGATAATCAAATATATGCTGACAGTTTATTGTTGTAATCAATATGCCATTGATTACCAAATAAATAAATAAATAAATAAAACTGATAATTAATTTAGTGATATACAGCTATACAGTACAAAGTCCGTAAACCAGACTCGTCGAGACTTCAGCGATTCCGGAGTAGGGGTTTTTCCAGATTATAGATCATCAATTTAAATCTGGTAAGATGGCATGCAGAAATTATACAATTAAAAAATATCAAACCGTAATTTATGAAATAAAGAGCAATTATGATCTAAAAGGTATGAAAATTTACAAAAAAAAAAAAAAAAAAGAAGCTTAATATTTATTTGTTTATTTTATTTAACATTTCTTTCAATGTAAGTTCTTTAAGTAGCTTCGTTTTTTGTGCTAATACTTTCTCTTTAATTCTCTCTTCTATAAACAGACATGATTTCTTGTTCAGTTACAAAGTTCCACTGTTCAAATCCTGTAATTGCTGTGTCGAGAATACTGACTAAATTGTCAATCTAAATTTTTTCGTTTTCAATAATCTCTCTGTTACTTTCTTCACTATCGGGATCACACACGTGTAAACGCTTTTACTGGCTTTACGCGCATGCGTAGCAGGCGCGTGCATTAAACTCGCATGCGTAAGTTTGTGGCTTTGAGGTCAGGATTATAAATCATTCCGGATAATGGACGTCCGGATTACAGACTTTGTACTGTATTATGTAGTAAGAGAAAATCTAAATAAACATGACAGGAAAATACACAAAAATTATTTAATATTTTTAAGAACCAATAATATTTTTCAAGCAATAAGAACACATAAAAAAGGAAAATGCAGGAACCCAAGCCAAAAATTTCAATAATACAAAACTTCCTTATATAAAGCCACTTGCAAAATTTAGAAGATTTTAATGTTCAGTTCCAAGACATTGAAAATTTGAATGTGCCAGTCTGTCTGATATATGTAATTTTGATATTATGATGCAAGAATAGTTGATACCATTGAAGGGCGATGTCCAAGCACAATTCTTGTTTCAAAACAAATAGGTATGCTAAATCTTGGAATTTAAAAGTCATCCAAAAGAAATATCTCAAAATAAATTATTTATGTTATTTTGTTTATATTTATAAAAATAAAAACAATAATACAAAAAATAATAAACCACTAATCTATTTTTTTCAAAAACTTTTCTTTATACTTAGTCTAATTGTTATATTTAATTTATTTATATGTAGTTTATTGTATTATGATTATGTTTTATGCAGTATGTTACAGAGAAAAATTTAAAGGGGTTGATCACATTAACCATTCTTTTAAAAGAGGTTGATGTTAAGAAAAATGTTGGGAATCCCTGGCCTAAAGGAAAAGAATGTCTCTACAGAGGACTATTTTAAATGAACCTGGTTTGGTCTTATGTTACTCACAGAGAAAACTAGAAGTTTCTTTGCAGCTGAGCTATTCAGTCAGATTTGAACTCGTGTGAAACTACTAGCGTTTAGTGTTTGGGCACTGGTGGGCATTTGTAGTTTGCTTATAGATATGAAGCTGAAATTTCTTAAACTTTTGAAATGAGCAGTGAAAAATGTGCCTGTATATTTTTTTGGGGTACTTTACCAAAATATATTTGCAAAATTCAAGTTTCAAGAAAATCACATGTAGATTCCGAGGAAGAGGCATTCTACGAAATGCATAATAGATATTTTTTTTTATATGCATGTTATAGAATGTGCATCTCTCTCTTTTAACACAGTAAAAACATCAAAATAGTAACAACATAAAATGCACGTGAAAACAGTAAAATATGCAGATTTATAGTTTTACTGCAATTCTGAAAATATATTATTAAGTAACATTAAGCATTTTCTTTCAAAAGCAAATTGTACCTCATGCAACATTGAATACCAAAAGAACTTTGATGATTCTTTTAATAACCAAATGATTCTTTTAATAGCAATATACATTTTATATTTCAGTATTATCATATTGGCTCAAATATAAAACTGCACCCCCTTAAAATCCACTCATGAAAATCATACCCATCTCGACCCATGCTATAATAATATTAAAAAATATTTATTAAGATAATTCTTCATTGGCTCAAATATAAAACTGCACAATACAGTTAAAAGTCGTTAATCCGGACTCGTCGGGACTTCGGCGATTCCGGATTATCGATTTTTCCGGATTATAGATCATCAGTTTAAATCTGGTAAGATGGCATGCAGAAATTATGAAATTAAAAATATGAAACCGTAATTTATGAAATAAAGAACAATTATGATCTAAAGGGTATCAAAATTTACAAAAAAAATAGTTTAATTTTTGTTTTAAATTTATTTATAGGAATTTGATTTAAATCATACCAAAGACGGAGTACATCGAAGATGAAATACTACATTTAGTAAGGAATTATTAGCCAAATAAAATAAAAACATCTGCCCTGAAGATAAGGATAGTGCTGACAGATTAACTTCCAATTCATTGTGCGCAGTGGCGTTTCCCCCCCACCCCCGCGCCGCTGAGCAGCGTGAAATTGATAAACAAATTTCGGAATGGTTAGAGAAACAAAAAATATGCCTTTATCCATTTTTTGCAGCAATTCCACTTTATGTTTAATGGACTTCGAAACATACATTTGCTTTGTAGATCCCTTACATATTAGTAAATATATATCGAAAATTCTATTTGACATAATCGAAAGTTCTAGCTTACTTTTATAAAATTGCTCTAACAGTCTGCAAAAAATAATAAGCCGGATCCAATTCGAAGATTAAGGAACAACGCAATCTGCAACATTAACTGAATTAGATAATTTTAGTTTAGCTTATACCGTCCATTATCCATTAAACGAGCAAGCGTAAACATATTATGCGCATGCACACACGCATATTCGCAGCCGTAAAGGTCTTATGCGCATGCGCAGAAAGTTTGTAGCTTTGAGGTCCGGATTATGGGTGTCCGAATTAACGACTTTTGACTGTATCATAATATTGGCTCAAATATAAAACTGCACCCTCTTAAAATCCACTCATAAAAATCATACCCATCTTGACCCATGCTATAATAATTTTAAAAAACATTTATTAAGATAATTCATCATTTAACTTTAATAGTAAAGAAATCATATTTATTTGGTATTTAGAGCATTTACTTTTTCTTATTGAACTTTTTCATCATATTAAAAAATTTAAAGCATCTTATATTCAGAAAGTATATTATTTCATAAAACAAAGTATTGTTCACTGTATTATAATTTATATTTTTTCATTCTTTGCAGCCTTGTTCGTTACCTGCTACTGAGCTAGGTCACTCCTTCATTGAATTTATCCTTGTTTTTCAAAGGGCATGTGACAAATAAAAATGAAAAATTTGTAATTACCAACTTTTAAAAATGCAAAGTCACAGATCAAACTAAATGTGCTGATAACACAAATTCAGTAGATAATTAAATTTCTACTGTGAATGTGCCATTTTATCCATCTTGAAAGATTACCAGAAGACTTGGACTTACATACTAATCTGGGATCTACTGAAAGAGCAGGACTTTTTTTATATAATGTTGTATCAAAATGAATTATATTTTTGTGTGGAGGACTATTTTTCCACCTAAGTTCAGTACAGCTAGCTATCCATCATTTTATTATTCATAATTTTCATCACACAGAAGTATTGTTTGTTTCCAAGTGAAGTGCAAAAACCTTTGTGATACATTCCATTTGTCCTATCATTGTGAATACTTCATTGTTTTATTTGTTTATTATTGTTTCAAGGTCTACTTTTCTGGGGGTAATTTTTTTTTCTCTTTGTTTTGTTTTACCTTAGTTGTACAATATTCATATGTGATAAATGTCAACAAATATATATATAACACATATCCTGAAAGAATTTTATAGTGATAATCAAATTATTTTTCTGTGTTTGTTTTGTGTGACCTTTCTTAACTGATAGATATAAGTTTTTAAATATGTAAAGAAATCTCTAATATATATGTATGATCATTTATTTAATGGTTTAAATCAAAATTGTTACTAAACTGAGGAAGAAGTACTGTGTATTTTTAAGATGCAATATATCTACTTTTTATAGCTGTTTATTATTATTTATATACTGTTTAATAACATGCATTTTAAGAATTTTTTTAAATGAGTTAAGTTATTTATCATTTTTGAATAATGCAGTATTTTACTCAATTTCAGTTTTATGTCATTTTGGGAGGTATAGAAAGATGGTGACAAAATTTTTCAGTGGCTTAGAATTGTTTTTCATAAAACATAGTTAACTTATTTTGTAATAGCAGTAACAGGGTGAATGAAAAGTTCCTGAACTATGAATTTATTTAAACTGAATAAACAATGCAAATGTTTTGCAGAGTGGTGGTGCAATATGATTCATGTTTGAATATTCAGAGTGAAGTTGAATATTTTAATTGTGACAATGATGCACATATGATGTTGTCTTGCACCATATAAATTCTGCAAAGATCTCACAAATGCTTACCTTATTCATGTTTGAATCCAAGCTCATCAGCATATAGCCAGAGGCCATGAGTTGAGAACTAATTAAAATTATATACATTATATGTCATATAAAATCACTTCGCTGAATTTCAGAAATAAAAAGTTCAATATAAAATACAAATTTTAATCAATTGACAGTAGAAAATATTTCATTAAATGGTATGTTCACATATGATTTGAAAATAACAGTTACGGGAATGATCTACATTATATGTCATATAAAATCATTTCGCTGAATTTCAGAAATAAAAAGTTCAATATAAAATACAAATTTTAATCAATTGACAGTAGAAAATATATCATTAAATGGTATGTTCACATATGATTTGAAAATAACAGTTATGGGAACATTCTGATCATCCAGTATCATTAACAAAACATAGTCATCAGTTTAAAAAATCAATTAAAAATACTGCAGAATAATAATTATCAGACTCATAAGCTATGATCCCAGTTTTTTTACCATAACTGGAATAATCCTTGGAACTTTAAAATTTGAAGTGTGTCTAGTACTATTTGCAGTTTTGCCTTGATAGACTTTATAAAATGCTTAGCCTTCAATTCAAATTTTAGTCTAAAAAATTAAAAAGTTGTAAGTATCACAACATGTGATAAATAAAGGAAATGAACAACAGCTGTGAGTTTCATTTCCACCACATACATTGTTACAGATTCAGGCTATCATATCTTGGTGCGGTAAAGTAACTAGTATCTAACACTTCACAGTTCAGTCTGTCCTTATTAGTTCCAAAGTATCATAATAAAGCATTGATTATTCATACAAGAAAGGACAAATTCTTAGTGTATACCCTTTTTCATGCTCTCGTTAAAAAAATAAATAAATAACAAAAGTATCTTCATTGCATTCTTAGCCACATCACTCTTGAGAAATCTAGGAGTCTCTTTTGTGAGATCAGCTGTAGATCTCAAGATCATTATTTCTAAAACAGAAATCCAAATTTTAAAGGTCATTATTTTCACTCTATAAAAGATACTCAGATGAAATTGCAGATGCCCCTAGACATTAATGAATGAACAGGCATTTAGAGCACTTTTCAATATTGTTGCAAATGCTGAGATCAGAACATAAGATGTAAAAATAGATCTAAAGGAAATGGAGAAGAGATCTAATTCAGGCAAGTTTTTAAAATGTGATTGCCCTTCTTTTGATTTGTTTTTTCCATCAGTTTATTATATATTCATTTTATCAACATTCTTGATAAAGAATTAAATATTTCTGTTGAAATCAGGACTTATATGTAAATTTATGTGTTCATGATCCTATTTTTGAATAGTTTATAGTCAAAGGAAAAAGAAACATGACAAAGTAAAATTTAAAATTAGGCAAAAAAGCAAACTTATTTTGCACATTGAATAATCTTTATCAGTTTCAAGGACAATCAGATACAGATCTCTCTTGTTTTGCTAGAAAATTTTTTTGCTCTCAAAAAACAAGGGCCTGAATACATCCACTTTAAGACAGATTTCAGAAAAATTAAAATCAGGAAAACTAAAATTGCTCTCTTAATAGTAATAATTATTTGAATATAAATTTTATATAGTTTTTTAAAATTTGAAATTTGGTATGTAATAACAGATAAATTTTGAATCATCATCTTGAGAAGATAATTTTTTACCTGTTTTTTACTCTAATATGAATTTTAATACAGTACAAAGTCCGTAATCCGGACTCGTCGGGACTTCGGCGATTCCGGATTATAGATTATCAATTTAAATCTGGTAAGATGGCGTGCAGAAATAATACAATTAAAAATATGAAACCGTAATTTATGAAATACACAGCAATTATGATCTAAAGGGTATCAAAATTTACAAAAAAAAAAAAAAAAAAAAACTTAATATTTATTTTCTTATTTTATTAAACATTTCTTTCAATGTAAGTTGTTTAAGTTACTTCATCTTTTGTGCTAATACTTTCTCTTTAATTCTATAAACAGACATAATTTCTTGTTCAGTTACAAAGTTCCACTGTTCAAGTCCATTAATTGCAGTGTCGAAAATACCGACTAACTTGTCAATCGAAATTTTTTCATTTTCAATAACCTCTCTGTCACTTTCTTCACTATTGGAAGCGACATTTTCTGGATCTAGAACCATACTACAGATTTCAAGGTCCGTTAATTGATTGATAATTGGGGTATTGTCGTCGTAATGAAAAACTTCTGTTATATCATCGTCATTTATTACCACTTCTCCACATTTCTTTACAAAATCCAATAACTGGACAATTTCACCTTTAGTTTACGATGTCCGAAATTCTTCAAATTCGCAGCTATCATCTTCCTCACCATGAAATACGGTAGCTGGCCATAAATTATGCCAAGCATTTTTTTAACGTATCTGGAGACACATCCTCCACATCTTTCAATGCTCCACACAGCAGATTTTATGCCAAAAAATTTCAAAAAGTCTTGACATAGATCAAGACTTTTTGAAATTTTTTGTTTGATCTGGACATTTAACATAGATTTTTAAAATGCTACTTTATATTTGCATTTCAGCACGTGCACTATTCCCATATCCATAGGCTGAATGACAAACGTACAATTTGGAGGGAAGAATAATACGGATATATTATCTTTCATTAAAACTTTAAGTGAAGTATGCGCCAAACAGTTGTCAACAATCAGGACTATTTTTGAGTCATCAGCTAAACCAACCGAATTCAAATGTCACCAAGGCTCGGGTATAAAATGATTTTCAAACCAATCATTCATCAACACTTGTGTCATCCATGCTCTTTTTATTTGTGCGATATATAATGGGGAAAATCGTTTTAAATGCTCGAGGTAGTGCATGTTTTCCGATTATGAAAAGTTTGCAACTGTGCATTCCTGCAACGTTTGTGCATGCTAAAATTGTTAGTCTCGCTATGGAATCTTTGACACCAGTTAGAGGCTTTTCTGTAGAGGTTGCCAAGGTATTTCGCGGTACATATTGCCAGAAAACAGCAGTTTCATCAGCGTTGTAAATTTTTTCTGGAGATAATTGTTTACTAGTAATGAGTTCACTGAATTCATCTGCAAATTGTTCAGCAGCTTCAGTATCAGCTGAAGCTTTTTCACCTGAAATTTTTGTCTTATACCATGGCGATTTTTAAATTTCATTAACCAACCTGTCGAATATGTGCACTCAGTGTTCAAGTTCATTTCTTCATGAAATATTTTGGCTTGAGCCATTAGCATTGGCATGCCCTCGCTGCGACGCTGACTGACCCATTCAATCATCATTTTGATCTTCACTTATCAAAACGAACTTTTTTCTGTTATTCATTGCAAGTGGGGGGTGTCGAAATCCACAAAAATTCAATAAGTTCCTTTTTTTTTTTCCCTTATGTCATATACAGTTGACTTTCCAATGTCATACTCCTCGCATAATTTTGAGACAGATATGCCTTTATCCATTTTTTGCAGCAATTCCACTTTTTGTTTGATGGGCATTGAAACATGCTTTCGCTTTGTAGATCCTTTGGCAGCTCCAGAATTGGAAACTCTTTTTGACATAATCGAAAGTAAAATTGCTCTAACAGTCTGCAAAAAAATAATAAGCCGGATCCAATTAGAAGATTAAGGAACAGCGCAATCTGCAACATTAACTGAAATGCCTTAGAATCAGTAAAGATAATTTTAGCCTAGCTTATATCGTCCATTATACATTAAACGTGCATGCGTAAAAGTATTTTAAAAAAAAAAAAAAAAAGTGGCTTTGAGATCCGGATTATAGATCATTCCGGATAATGGACGTCCGGATTATGGACTTCGTACTGTATATAGCCTAGCTTTATACTTGTCATTACAGTCAGATATTAATCATGTCCTATTTTTTCTATTCAAAACTATCTATTAACTTCAGATATACAGGCTATTTTCCTCCTTCCTGTTAATAAGAAGATACAGTTTTGTTAATACTTTCACAAACATTCCAATGTAGTTATCTGCTTTCATAGTTGTTTTATTTTATTAAGTATTTGTGCTTTATCTGCTTTGAAAAACATTTTATGAAAACAGTTATAAAAGTTTCAATTAACATTCCATTACAGCTATTTGATTTTGAATTTATTTTACATTTTATGTGTACATATATAAATGTGCTTACTCAGAAACAAGTTTATTTGTTTCCTAGGTGTTGAGCAAGTAAATTAATATAGGTGTAGCTTATTTATAAATGAAATGTCATTTTGAATACATTCATATTAGGTTTAAAATTTTTTTCATCAAATGAACACTTTAGAAAAAGCATTATTGCAGTAGTTATATAAATGTTAATACAATTTTGTGCTGTTTTTTATTATAAACTTATTGTTGATCTAATGGTAATATTGCCAAGTTTTATTGTTCCTATGTTATAAAATCATTACTTAAATATTTTAAAGATTATAAAATAATTATTATGTGATACAAATGAATTATAAATATTTGAAGAAGTATTTTGTATAAAAATTAATGGCTGTATCTGCACAAAAATAATGAAGTAACAAAATTTATATAGAACACTGATTTAAAGAGCTTGTAAGATATATTAATGGAAAATATTGTTTATATGTTACACAAAATACTACTCTTCAGAAGTGTTAATTATTTTTAATAAACTGAATTCTGACTATATATTTTTTGTGTGTTTTATTAGTTGAGGAAAAGCACACCAGAGCTGTCATATTTTCCAAAGAAAAGTTTTTTTTATTTTTATTTATTTATTTATTTTTTGAGCCAGCTTATTTACTGGAATGACTAGATTATTTTTTTTTTTTTTTTTACTTCACTCTTAATGTTAATTTTTCTAATTATACTTCAGAGTTTTCATTAACTCAAGTAAACTCAAATAATTCTGAAGTTATAAAATAAATACAGAAAACTTTAATGAAAATATAGTTACTAGGTTGAAAAGTAAAATCATTTAAAATCCATTTTATATCTCATGCACACTGCATAAATTTACGTAAAGTAAAATATACACACACACACATATGTATGAATTAGAGTGGGGGGATCCACTCTGAAACTGATTCAAAAAGCCAATTAAATTCACTGAGTGTATTTATAGAAACTCACCAGGAATAGAGATATACAATTAATTTAAGAACTGATTCATAGAGAATTGAAGAAAAATTAAGAATCAGAGAATCGAAAAAAGAATTGAAGAATTTGGAAATGTGCCAGGTAAGCTCTCTACCATTATAATGAAGAAAAAAATTATCCTCACATATTATGAGTTTAATTTTTAGCATTTCCCAACTTTTTGAAAAATATTTATTCTAGAATTTTAATCTTAGTTGTACGTATAAAGGAGGTTTTAGGGAATTTCAAAACTACAGTTGAATAAAATCAGTTCAGAGATTTAATGTTTGTTTTAGTAGATTCTTCCAATCCCATGGTTTGCTTGATTCTTTTTTCTCTGACCTTGCTAACCAATTCTGATCCCACTCCTCATTTGATTGTTTCCACTCTTTGCTTCATCCTCACTAATCACTCAATTCACCCCTCATTCCTGATCTTTTCCATCAAGGTTAGTGAGTGGCAAGTCATAAAAAAGAACAAATTCATTTCAGTGAGCCAATGGTTGTAATCCATTCTTCGCTTTAAAAGAACAGTTTTGTACATCTCTAATATAAATTACAGATCAAAACGTCTTTATTGCAAAAAGTATGTTAATAAAAAAGTAAAATTCATGTCATTTCATTTATTGACTAAAAAATGTAATATCATACCATTTTCAATGTCTTGCATATACCTAACGTATAGTGTCAGTTAGAACATCATTGATGTTTCGTATGGGAATTGTGCACACACACCTACATGATTAGATAGTTCATTTTTCTTTAGCAAGGAAGCAGTTTTACTAGATAATCATCCTGATAAGCTAGATTTTTCTTTATGCTTACAAAGTTATCCTTTGGTTTGAATTAATGCAACTAAATATGGTTTTAATAACAATACACATATTTCACGATGGAGTGAATTTATCAAAAGACATGAAATTCTGAAAGCTATTCAGGATGCCTACATAGAAGTTTACTGATAAGGAAAAAATAGTTGCATTGCAAATTATTTAAGTTGATGAAGAAACACTTTCTTTAGTAGATACTTTTCGATCTCTCTTACTTGGTGAATAGCCGCCCAGATGAGAAAGCGGTTTGACTCTGACTGCCATACCAAAGAGCCCGGGTTCAAATCCCAGAGAAGGCATGGAATCCCCCCTCTGTGGCCCACCTATTAGGTGCCTCAATAAAGTGACCACTGCTTTCAGCCTTAGTAGTACAGTACTTTGTAAATTGTTAACTCTTAAGATCAGTATTTTAAAAATACAGCTTGCAGCCATTTTTGATAATTAAATTGGCCATTAAAAAAGGGGAACTTCCATAGATTTCTATTAAATAATTCACTTATCTGAAAAAATATATTGTTTCTAATTTATCTACAGAAATCTAATCTACAGAAAACATACCTAACTAAAACATAGATGACAGTCTTCAAAGATGCATAGGAAACCATCTTCCTGCATGTCTCTCAGAAGAGCCAATACTTGCTTGGTTAATTTTTTGCCCTGATTTTGATTACTATTGAATTCTATGGTGCACTATCATGGGTCAAAATCTCGATGGCCTCAATTACAATGGTCAGTTAAAGGCTTAATATGCATAAATTATTATTTTTGTCTCTGAAATCATCATTTAAAAAACATTTGTGGCATTTCTGTTAAATATTGCAGCAAATTAGATGCAATCAAGCAATATTTTCACCATTACAAACATCAGTTTTTTTTAACATAACTTAATAAATGGTAATTCTATTCAATGTTTCTATTTTCATTCTGGAAGTTACATAAAAAGTGCACAAGAAATCATGTTTGAAAATAATACTTGGTTATGGGTCATTTCATTCTAATTCATTCATTATATCGTTTCAATTCATCAAAGTACTTGCAAACTCAATTATATATATATATATATATATATATATATATATATATTTCACATTAACTTCCTGGGTGACATGGCTGTCTTTATCTGCTCATGGGATTCTTTGTCATTTAGAATATACTATATTATAATTCAAAATATTTTGCTTTTTTTCTTTCTTTAACAACGTAAATTTCATCTTAAAGAATATAAGTTTATGAAAACAGAGACTAAAGTTAATATAAAAATTTAGCTAATAGAAGCTGTTTAAATATAGGTCTTTATGAGCTGATCTAAACAGCCATGTACTCAGAAGGTTAAGCATAACTTATTCTCTTGGCTATATGGGCACATACATGCACTGGGAGAAATTCATTGCTACGATCATTGAATGTTTCTGTTCAAAGGCCTATAAACAACTAAGACTAATAAGTACTTTGAAGGCCAGATTCAAAAGATATCCAACAGTTTCAAAATATAAAAATAGTACAAAATGCACAGTTTAATAAATGAGTACACTGAGCAAAAATATATGCCCATTTATAGAGTTTGATATTCCTTCCTCCCTCCCTTCCAGCCACAAAAGGTGTTTCTCTGTGATGTTGTTGTTCCTACGGTTTGAGTGCTCCTAGGTTAGGTTAACTACCAGAATTTAACTTTGTGAATATTTTTCATATTATTGGGAAAATCAAGTATTTTTGGGGGGGGAGAGAACAGGGAGAGGGAGACTAGTAAAAGTTCAAGATACTGAGAGTTAGTGTATATAGAGTTTGATTATTAATAATCTTATTGTTGCTATTACAATTTCTAGTTTACAGTTAAGTTTTGGGGGAAAAAAAGGACCTCATACATCCAAACTTGTTTTAACTCTTTCGCATCGAGAGACGGCCAAATCTCTTTTCCTCAGACATCGAAAACATCCGTGTATACGAATTCCTCTTGGAATGCTTTTCCTTTCCCCATGACAAATTGAATATACTACATCGCTAATGATAATTTACTTAAGAAAAGCAATAACTTCTTTCTTGGATGTTTCCACACTGTGTGAAGTTTCCCCTTGGGACGGAATTGAAACATTGGGCATCAATAGCTAAACATTGCAAGTACACAAAGAAAAAAAGAAGGTGCATTAAAATAACAAAACTACTTTTAGTTGCTTCAAAAGAGTGATTGACATGTCATTTAACAACTCCTGAAAGCAATGAGCAATGCAATAACACTAGGAAAGCACTAGGTAAGAAATTATTCAGGAGTTCGGGTGACCTGCCGATGTCTGAATGCTCGGGTGTTTGGGGCTACTTCGATGTGAAAGAGTTATTGGTAAATTTATCACCAATAAGTAGCTTATAGTAACTTGAATCATTATTTTTTATTTAGTTTAATCAACTATTGGTTTTGAGGATTAGATTATATTACAAAATATATAAATAAATTAATAATAAATAAAGGAAATTTTGTATTCTGACAGCAAGATTATGCGTAAGCAAATTTAAAAGAAAGAATACAAGGCCTTGATTATTTATTCTGCTGAATAGTCTTCAGATTTTAAATACAGTATTTAGATTGCATTAGCTGGTGTGCCATCTCCATCAATATTTGAGAATTTTTCCATTTGGTAAGACAGGTAATAAATATAATAAAAAATAATTTATAAATTTGTTTAATTTTTTATGATGTTGCAACACTTTTTAAATATTCATTATACTTCTTCTCTTGTGCATTATAAAGTTTCATAACTTTTTTTAATTGACTTTCACTCAACTCTTTCCCCTGAGCATCATGAGTGGGAATTCCCTGTAAAACAAATTACATAATTTAGAATAAAATTTATTTATTTATTTTCAATAATTTTAAATTAATTTTTATTCACTTACTGTTTTAACAATTTTTTCCCCCCTTTTTACAACAAATATTTTAAAAATGTACTTAATTTCCATACTTAATAAAACTGAACTTCTATACTCCAAAACACTAGCAATTTTTTAATTACAAAATCATCATATAATCCTATATTGAGTATAATAGGAAAATTCAATATATTAGACAGCAAAATAATTCTAATTTTTTTCATAATTTGAATATTTAGCCATGTCACAAGCAGAAATTCTACTGTTTTAATGAATCCATAAAATACCCACTTTCATGGAATATGTGTAAAAATACATACACCGATGAGCCATTACATTATAACCACCCTCCATCTATAACAATGGCCTTTCCCAGGAACAAAAACACTGCATGTGCGTGGCTGACGTTAGAGTATATAGAGCGGCTATGCATTGTCTTTCCAAACACAATGCGTTTAGTGACATAATAGGAAAAGCAGCTAATTTATAAGACTTCGATAAAGGTCAAATCGTTATGGCTCAGTGACTGGGAACATCAGTATCAGAAATGGCGTGTGTAGTGAGCTCATGTGCAGTTGTTGTGAGCATATATCAAAAGTGGTGTATGGATGGTGAAACAACAATGGCGCAATGGTTCCAGAGGAGAGTGGAGATTGCTATGCATTGTTTGTCATGGCTGAAGAGCTATGCAGCCGGAAGGCGATGCATGTCTCTGCTCGGACGGCACGTCATCACCGGCTGCATCTGCAACGGACCAAGAAACATTGGAATTAGACATTAAGAGAATGGAAGAAAGTTGCATGGTCTGACAAATCATGTTTTCTAGACCATCACATGGATGGGTGTGTGCTAATACGCCGATTTCCAAACAAAACCCTGGCTCCCATATGCACAGTTGGACAGAGACAAGAGAGTGGCGGGGGTATTATGGTATTGGCAATGTTTTCACAGAACACATTAGGACCCATAATCATCGTAGAACAATCCCTGATGTCTGTGTGCTATGTGAACATCGTTGCAGACCAGGTTCACCCATTCATGACAACAGTATTTATGGCAGGGAATGGTGTTTACCAACAGAATAATGTACCATTTCATAAGGGTCGAATTGTCAGGGAGTGGTTCGAGGAACATTCCAGTAACTTTCAGGTCATGTCTTGGCATCTAAATTCACCTGACGTTAATCCAATAAAGCATTTGCGGTCCCACCTGGAAAACCAAATTCGTGCTGCCATGCTACCCCTCACAATGTGCAGGAATTGCAGGACCAATTGGTGAGTGCTTGGTACATATACCTCAGACTACATATCAGCACCTTGTGGAGTCAATGCCATGCCGAGTGCTTTCAGTTTTGAGGGCTAGAGGTGGTCTTACAAGTTATTAATTGGGTAGTCATAATGTAATGGCTCTTCTGTGTATTTTCTCTTTAGTTACAAACTTATTAAATCATGTTTCTTACATACCAATCCATAGCTAACAAAAAGATAACATAAAAACTTTAATTTTAATCTTGATAGCTTGAATTTTATATGAATTATCAATACAAATTATAGCTGTATGCAGGGCTCATACACATTTCTGCACACGGAAATTAAAAACTTTTCAAGACCTTTAATGAATAAAATTAAGGACCTATGAGCAAATGGCAACTGAATAAATTCAATTAAAAATATTATCTATGCCTAAACTTTTGTAATACCATCCTAAAAATAAATAGATCTGTAAGTAATATGCATTATTATTAAGCATAACTTAATTAACATAATTATTAATAAGTTTGAAAATAAAATAAACTTTATGAAATTTATCAAGTAGCATTATATATTTTACACTTATAATAGTTGGACATATCTGAATGATGATAAGCAACATTTTATTTACGTTTTACTAATAATTAGCTTCATGGTGATTTTTTTAATGTCTCATTTTGTCAAATAATAACTGCACATATATCAGGTGGCCATAATTAAACTGACAGTGCTCACAGTGTTCTGTAGCGCGATCTTTTCGCGAGAATGACGCCACATTTTGTAGGAAGAATAAACAAGATGGGGGACAAAGGATTCCGCGAAAAAAAAGTTAGTTCGAAAAGTCACCGCTAGGGGAATATTTGGCGCTGTGTAATAGAAAATAGAGTGTTAACAAATGCAAATTAATACAGAATAAAATAACCTTTTATTATGGATATGCCTTACAGTACGGTATGGAAAATCTTACGAAAAATGATCAACTTCTATCGTACAAGATCAGCCGTGTACAGGAGTTACTGTACCCTGACCATGATAAGCGACTGACTTTTGCTCTCACCTTTCTGCCAGAATGGAGGTGGATGATGCTTGGCTGTGATGGATAAGCTTATGGGGAGATGAGGCCCACTTTTACCTGAATGGAACTGTGAATACCCAGAACTGCCGAATTTGGGATGACAAATCATCACATGCAGTCACAGCAATTCCCTTACATTCAAAAAAAGGTAACTGTTTGGTGTGGGTTCACAGCAGAATTTATCGTAGGTCCATTCTTCTATGAGAACATTACCCCGACAGTTCTGTTACCAGAGAGAAATATCGCCACATGTTGAACAGCTTTGTTATTCCAGCACTTCAGCAAAGACAATGCCTGGGGGAAATCATTTTCATGCAAGATGGAGCCCCTCCACACGTTGCTGTACGGGTGCAACAGATGCTACGACAGAAATTCACAACAGAAAGAGTCATTAGCCGCTACTTTCCAACTGCATGGCCACCTCGGTCGCCTGATTTTACCCCATGCGACTTCTGGCTATGGGGTTACCTTAAGTCCAAGGTCTATCAAGGAGTGGTCCAGGACCTGGCTACGTTGAAGGATAACATATCACGGATTGTACGGGAGAGATTCCTGCAGACATGTTAGTGCAATATGTGGTCCACAACAACGGCAGCCACATTGAACTTTATTTGAATGCAAAATAAAAGTAATTTCCGTATTGATTTGCATTTGTTAACACTTTATTTATTTTCTATTACACAGCACCAAAATATTCCCCTAGCGGTGACTTTTGGAACTATTTTTTTTTTTTTTTTTTTTTTTCTGCAGAATCCTTCGTCCCCTGCCTTGTTTAATCTTCCTACAAAATGTGGCGTCACTCTCACAAATAGATCGCGCTAGAGAACACTGTGAGCACTGTCAGTTTAATTATGGCCACCCGTTATTTGAAGAATAATTTTTTTTCTCTTTATGCATTCAGTTTCTTTCATCAACATGTTTCCTTTTCATTTTAGAATTTTTGGATTAAATTAAAGATTTCTGTTATTCTAAAAAAATTAAATGAATATATAGAAAAAGCTGTTAATTTTATTTCTTTAGTAATATGAACATTCAGAAAAAATATATATGTTACGGGCTGGTTACAGAGCTGGTGTGGCAAAATTTTTAGAATTCAGTGTCACACCAGGCAATAGAATCTAGAAATGGCGAAACTTTTAGAATTTAGAGCAAGCACTAGAAGTAGTATTTAGAAAGGCAACTAGGCAGCAGAATTTAGGATACACAGAGATTACATCAGGTGCAGAATGCAGGTGCCTAGTGGCAGCCCTGTTAATGATGCATTAGGATGTATTAGATGAATCTTTTAAATTGTCAGTTCTCAATTTCTTTATTAGTAAAAATTCCTTTCTATAGTGCCTGTCCATATGATAAGATTAGAAGCATTTTCGATATCTTCCATGCTTGTGTGTAGTGAAAAAAAGAGAAAACAAAGGAAAGATAAACATGTTTTAGAGACATTAGGCTAATTGGAAAACCAGAGAGATGAAAATTTAGCAATGCCTTCGCCGGGAATTGAACCACGGACCTCTGAAATACCGACTCAGTGTGCTGACCACTACACCACGAAGGCATGCTAGGAAGGTGGGAGAAATACCTTACAGATGTTAAGAAAAAGATTCTAGTATCAGAAGTAAACGTTCAAATATTATGTTTTCATTGTTCTTCTGAACTTCAGTATCCCAGTATTATATTAGAAATAGGAACAAATTATAACCATGAAACCATTCAAAAGATAACCATATTTGTCAGTGAATCGCCAAAAAATATTCCTCCAAAATGGTAATTTACACTTAAAATGGCAGTTGTAAAAACAGGCAGAAATTTCAGATGATTAAAATTAAGGACCTTCTGCAACTTTTGTGTAAAATTAAGGACTTTTAAGTACCAAAAATCGATTCCAAAAAATCCTAAGGACTCTTAAGGACCATATTAACCATATATGCTAGATGTAATGTAACATTTCTAAATTATTATTGCACTTCATAAATTATTTTCATTACGAATTCAAAAAGCACTCATTTTCTAAAATGTGCTGCAATTAGCTCAGTTCAAATTTATTTACTGATTATATATTATTATTATATTATTTACCTTTTCATCAAATTGTGAATATTTATCTGACATGGACTTGAACATTTCACTAGGTGGTACCTTTTTCATTGCTTCTCTAGCAGCTTTTAGTGCTTCTTGCTCTTGCTTTTTCCTTTCCTTTTCTAACATCTTTTCTGCTTCTAACTGAGCAATCAAAATATTAAATATAAATCATATATATATATATATATTGAAGATGAATTCTATTATTTAATTATCATCCAAATTAAAAACAAAAATATTATTGCAAGGAATTATGCAACTAGATTGACTAGATTTTTATTATACTTATAAATTAACAGTTTCTAGTTGATCATTCAATGCACAAAAATATGTCACCTCCCCAAGTGCCACCCTCCCCTGCATTTTTAAATAATGCAGTTTTAATAGAAAGGAAAGGGGAAAAAATTTAAATTTTCTTTCAAAAACACAAATTTATGTTTAAATTGTAACTAATTTTTTAGATGCCCATAATTCAACAATAGTAGCTTATTGCTATCAGGAATGTGATTTCTGAAGAAGCAAATTGGTTGCCAATATGAAGACCTTTCTTTTTCTGGCAGTTTTTCACACTATATCTCTATATGGCTTCTGCAGTGGCTAAAGCTAGATTTTTACCAGAGTTACTTCAAATGTACTATATGAATGCTTATGAAGAAAAGCCTATATTATCAACAAAAGCATTTTATATTATCTTTATAACAGAGGTTTATGCAGCTTTCCTTGACATGTCTTTCAAAAATATGAATGCATTTCCAGAGAATTTATAAGCCACGACACAGATTACTGTGTATTAGAAATAACTGTGTACTAAAATTTGTATAACTTAAAAACTATATAACAATAGAACTTTCATAGACCAAGCTGACAAACTATTTAAAGAAATCATTGGCAAAATGTGAAACTATTAGAAAGAGAACAATGAAAATCAGGAACATTCGGGAATTCTTTTATCAGTAATTGATCTTTTAAATTTTTCTTAACAGTGACTGTTTTTATCATATATTATGATAACAGATGTGATTTACAGTGCAAGATGTAAATGACATTAACTGATAATGATTTCATAGAAATATTTCAGAAGATGAATGGGTTTGAAGACATAACCCAATAACATATTTTATAATGGAAAATATAGAATACAGCAAACCAAGTTTTAAAGCAATGAGTGACAAAGAAATCTTCGTGAAGTAGTTCCAGAAAATAATAAACTTTGCAATGATCAAAGTGATCTTAAATGTCGATAAAATAAAAAAAGTCAACGTGAAAATTAGCTATGATGAAACCTTTGACAAAGTTCTTTACAAAGCAATATCCTGAGGCTTCCGCCGATTTTTTTGTTTATTAAAAACTTCCGCGAATGTGCTGCAGTTGACAAAGCTATAAGGACTATCACAAGAAAGAGCAAATGATTTTCCAAAATAATAATAATGTAACATAAAAATCTATCTTAAGAAACTTGACAAAATTTCATAATTTGCATATAAAGTTTGATCGAATTTCATTATTCAAGTTTATTTTAATGCATATTTTTTCCACAAAATAAAATCTTATACAGATTGCTTATTTAATTGAAGATATTAAATATTATTAATGTAGTAGTTGTGCCCTTATTTAGAATTTAAAATAGATAACTTCAGAAACCATTATTAATAGAAAAAATTAGCAGGATTTAAAATTTAGTTTCTCTTACTCAATTATTCTTCATTATCTATGGTGGTTACTGTCCCAGTTAGTTCAAATTATTGAGATTCTACTGTATTACCAAATATTAAAGAAGTAAAAATTTTCATTTGCACAGAAATTAAAAACGCAAATTGTATCATTGAAATATTACTTTTTTTTAAAATGTAGGTTAGCTATTTATGGATATTTACCGAGATAACAATGCTTCATATTTCTTTCTTTATATTTGCATAGCCCTGAAAAGGGCCATTCCCTTTTTAAGAGTCTTATAAAACTGCTGGAGAGAAGCAATCCCTATAGAAAATGTGCCTTAAAATTTCACAGAGTAATGACTGCTGTTACTTTTTTTTCCCACTGTAAAACAAATACTCATAATTTTGTACTTATATTCTTCAGAACATGTTTCCTTGGCAAATAAGAATCTTTAGCAATACACCATCGCAACAAATACCTCCATATGTAATAATTTCCTTAATTAAATGAAAATAATTCCATCTATTCATGATTATATATTCAAATAATATTTAAGTGTTGGTATACTACAATAAATACAAAATAAAATAAATGTTGGTATACTACAACATGAATATAAACCTGATATTCAACTCTCAGTTGAAATAATAGCAACAAAAAACATGAAAAAAAAATTACTTTAAAACTTCTACTTTTTGTAAATTTTTAGTGCAAAATCACTTTTTATAATTGCAAATTAAAAAAAAAAAAAAAAGACAGAAGGCTCTGAGTCTAGTGATTAAACTCCTGACAAAAGAATACTTTTTTAATGTTATATAAACAGTTTCTAATATAAATATTTTTTGTTCATAAAAAATATCAAGTTCCTTTCATGAAATAATAGAATTATGCATTTAGTAATTACATATAATGCACATAAGAACACAGCTTATCATTTTCATTTACAGAAAATAGAATGAGGTTTATTTGCAAAAAACATGAATGACATCTTTTGAATTCAGAACTTTTATTAGTAGGCTGTTGATTGGACAAACAGAATTTTATGCAAGGTTCCTGCTAAATTTCAACTTTTAATTTCTCTGATGTTCCATAACCAAATACAATGGGCTTGTTATCAAGCTAAATATAAATTACCGAATAACTTTATTTGTTTACTATAAAATACAATAACTAAAATATTATAAATATTTAATGTAGCTTAGAAAATAAATGAAGGGAATACATATAGAAAATATGCATTTCAAACATTAAGGTAGGATTTTTAAAAAGAAATATCAGATCTGGAAGATATTCCTCATTCGCAAAAAAAATATATATATATGTGATAAAAACAAAGTTAGAAGTAATGACGAGCAGTATTTTGATGTTGTATAAGTGTTGATTCATAATGACTAGGAAATTGGAGGCAAAGGCAGATTAAATCCTCAGTTTTTATTTCAGCAACGTGTTGTGGCCACAAACAAATTGGCACATTAATTGGGCCTATCCCAAAAAACTTACATTTCAGATAAATTTGCAGTATGATAGAAAGAGCAGACAGTCAGCAGCCCAGCCAGGTGAAAGCGTTGAAAGCAAGTGCCGTATGTTCAGAGTGAAATTTTAATTCAGACTGAGTTAGTTTTGGTTCCCAATGCATTTTGATTGGATGGTTAATACTTTTTTTAAATTATTATTGGCTGCTTGAATTTTAGTTCCATTTACATCATCAGAATTACGTAAGAATCATACAACATATATTAATCTAGAAATGACGCAGTGCAGAGAGGGGTTACTGTTATTAAAATTGAGAAGGGAAATTTATGTTTTATGTTGCTAATTTAATCTTTTACATATTCTTTATTTTTCTTAAATATTTATATATATAACAGTATATGTTTGCAAATATATATTACTTCTTTGGTTCGTTCTTTGAAATAAAACCAAAGATCTTAAAATTATTTAAATGAGTGTTTAATTAATAGTTATTTATTATGATATACAGTCAGTCAGTATAATGATTTCTTAATTCCGCTACTTCTTTTTGAAAGGTACTTCAACTTCTAAAGGGAAAGATAACAGAACAATTATATACTTAAGAGAAAAGTGAAGAATATTCGTCAACAGAGGAAGAGGAGAGCTATATGTTAATAAAAATGTACCAAATATAAAATGAGTAAAATATTTTCTGCTAGAAAAATAATTACTTTGGTAATTCTAAATTTGATTTTAAGAAACTCCGTTTTTTTTAAAACTTTTTACCATTTTAGAAGATCTATTTGTACTTCCCATCCTCTGCTCGATTTCACAGATTTTTTGGAATTTTTGATCATCTGGGCTCTTTTTAAGAAAGTTCATTTTCTCCCTGAAACTTTTTCATTTTCCTGTTTTTTATGACTTTTTGGGATTCTTCAGATTGAGAAGACAGATACAGAAATCAGATTGAAAAGAAACCATTCTATGCTACAATAAAATATGCATTTCTTTTTAAAAACTAAACTAGGTTGTTATTAATTATGCTTACCCTTTCCTTTATCTTTTTCTCTTTTGAAAGCTCTTCTGGATCTACTAACTTAATTGCAGCTTTAAGACCTACATGAATAGTAGAAGGAAAAAAAAAAAGAACCTTTTAAAAACCTTAGCACAAAATTTTATATTTTATATAAACATCAGTGCATTTTAATGCCGATATCTACTTGCTATGCACTAATTATATTAAATCCAACATTTCACACAACAGAATATTCAAACCTTCTTGATCTTCTAGTCTGACACCAAGAGCAGGTAAAATGTAATCTCTCAATTCATCGCACAATTTAAGTATTGGAAATGCTGTAAAAATGAAATAAAATTTTATATTTAAAATAATTTAAACTTTGATTGAAAAATTATTGCTATTTTTCAAACCCAATTTAAAAATACACAATAAAATACCAAGTTTTAAGCAAACAAAAATTGGTTTCACTACTTATAACACAGAAAACAATTCCACGAATGATTACTCACATAAGTAATTAAGAAATTCTAAAAATCTTAAAAATTCATTGAAAGAAAAAATATTACAGTCAAAAGTCGTTAATCCGGACTCGTCAGGGCTTCGGCGATTCCGGATTATCGATTTTTCCGGATTATAGATCATCAGTTTAAATCTCGTAAGATGGCATGCACAAATTCTAAAATTAAAAATATGAAACGGTATTTTAGGAAATAAAGAACAATTATGATCTAAAGGGTATCAAAATTTACAAAAAAAGAAGCTCAATATTTATTTGTTTACTTTATTAAACATTTCTTTCAATGTAAGTTGTTTCGTTTTATGTGATAATACTTTCACTTTAATTCTATAAACAGACATAATTTCTTGTTCAGTTAAAAAGCTCCGCTGTTCAAAGCCCGTAATTGCTGTGCCGAGAATACCGACTAACTTGTCAATCGAAATTTTTTCGTTTTCACTAACCTCTCTGTCACCTTCTTCATGTCTTTATCCATTTTTTGCAGCAATTCCACTTTTTGTTTGATGGACATCGAGACATACTTTCGTTTTGTAGATCCTTTGGGAGCTCCAGAATCGGAAATTGACATAATCGAAAGTTCAAGTTTACTTTTATAAAATTGCTCTTACAGTCTGCAAAAAATAATAAGCTGCATCCAATTCGAAGATTAAGGAATAACGCAATCATCAACATTAACTGAAATCAATAATTGTATAATTTTAGCTTATACCGTCCGTTATACGTTAAACGCGCACGCGAAAACGTATTCTGCACTTGCGCACGCGTAAACGCCTATGCGCATGTGTCAACGCGGTGCATGCGCAGAAAGTTTTTAGCTTTGAGGTCCGGATTATAGATCATTCTGGATTATGGGTGTCCAAATTAACTACTTTTAACTGTATTAAATATACAAGTACACTGTACACACACACACACGAAATGGGGCGGTTCTATAACTCCTGCTCTACTGCACTAATTAATGAAATTTAACTTGTGTTTTTCATGTCTTCAAAGCATGACATAGAATATATATTAGATCTACATATAGCAATGTTGTAACATGTTGTTGTGACTTATCTCACTTGTCTGACTCTAGCATCAGAACAAGCCAAAAAAAAATTCATTGTGACAAGGAGTGCAAGATTAGGCAAGAACTTTGAGCACCATACCAGTGACAAGATGACTCTGCTCAGTTCCGCCCCCCCCCATTTTGATGAAGAGCAGCCCAGGGATACAGGTCTCCCACCCCTCTTCCCCTGCTACCAACCTCTCAAGAGAACTTTCGACTTCCCACATATTTAGAATTCCTCCATGCCGCACAGACACCATACATTTACAAACATCCATGCCTTCTCTGGGATTCAAACCCGGGCCCTTGGGTATGGCAGTCAGAGTCGCTAACCACTATCCTAGTTGGGTAGCATGTTGCAAAATTAATATTTTGATAGAAAATTGGACTTTTACTGAATCAATATACTAATTTTTTCCCATATTTCGATTCTGCAACAAAAAGTATGCCTAAATGTTATACTTTGTAAAATTTGGTGAGAAACTTACTGAGAAATTAAAAAATTTATCTTGGTACACTTTTTTAGTTCATGGAAAGAATAATTCACTTAACAAAATTCTTAATTTATGTTAACCTATTTTCCTTTGTCTTTCATTGTGTACAAGTGGAAGAAAAGGTACATTGTTCATTTTTTCATCTAATTTTCTTTATCTTATATTTTTTAATCATAATTGTTATTTTTAGATAATAGTTTCCTTTTTAGCATTTCATTTTAATTGTTTGAGATGCATGATTTCTTCAAATAATTGTTAAAATCTATTTATTCATTCAAACTGTTTATTTTAAGTGTATTTATTAACATAAAGTTTCGAATTTTATTTTATTCATTTGAATATAATTTCCTTCAAAAGAATACTTTATGACTCTGATTATGATACATTTGAAAACTGCATATATTGAAAGAGAAAATACAGCAAAGCACAGTTAATACACCTTTCAATGGGCAATTCAGAAAAGATATACAAATGAGAAAGATGTATAACTGACAATTTAATTTAGGATGAGTTACATACATTTCTCTTAATAGTTTTATCACTGTGCCATTACATTACACAATTTTATCATACTACTAGTTTCTTAAAAAAATTATTCATATTTTAGTTGAATATTTTATTTTTGAAATTGCAAGAAACAAATAGCATGAGATTTAAAAATTTTAAATTTAAAAAAAAAATTATGGAGAAAAATTTATATTTTTCTTCAAAATGCCTTGTCATTTTTTCAAAGCATTCAGCAAATAAATTAAAAATCAAACACAATCATATATTAAAGAATATAATTTTTAATAATGAATATAAAGAGTAACTAATTAATATCTCAAAGTTCAGTTATTAATTTTTAAATGTAAATAGTACAAAAATATTTACATGGAAAAATAAAAAAATATTTTTATTATTTGCATCTTTTAACAAACAAATAATACTTTAATCAGTTATTGAATAAATGCTATGAACAGTGGCAGATTTTGTTTTCATTAAAAAAGAAACTTTATAATTTATTCATAGCAATTGCCATGTAGGCCTGCTTTTGCTACTAAAAGTTTTTCTAAAATGTCATAACTAATATTAGATCTAAGTTTAATCCTTGTTTTCACAACAACACTGAAAACCCTTTTGCACTCTGCATCACTATGAGGAATTGCTAGAATAATGTTGGATGGCCAGAATTATTATAAACAGTACACTATACTTTAAAATTCCATTAGCACCTTTCAGTTTCCCCATCAAACTCCACTCGGTGTCAATCATAGCTGGTTTTATAACTTTACCCAAGTTCGCTAATTGTAAACTGCAAAACAGCGATTGCAATTTATCAGTTGTAACATCAGTATCATCATCTTTCCTGACTACATGAAGTAAAACTGAAAATCTATTCAAAAAATATCTTATCAGGAAAATATGCATTTGCTAAAGCAGAAACATCTGAAACTTTAGGATATAAAATCACTTCATCATTGATTGGAAATTTATATAGTATGTAATCACATACTCGGCAGAAGTGGTGTCTAATGTAGAAATAACCTTATTTTGTCTTTCTCTGAAAATTCTTTCCCTACTTTGTTAGTTGCAGCCCCTATTATCAAATTTTCATTTTTCTTCCATATTTCTATTTCAACATAAATCACGTCATATATAGAATTGGAAGACAAAACAAAGACTAGTTTTACAAACTTTAATAAAATGTATTTAAACAGATCATAAATCATTGATTGCAAAACATAAATTAATGCAATTCTGTTTTTTAGAATTATGTTAAGAGCATCAAATGATGGCAAAATGAATTATACAAAAAAAAGAAAAAGCTTTCTTAACATAAACATGTGTTCTTCACAAGATAACTTTAGAGTAATCAGAAAATGTTTCCCTTGTTGATTTTTTTTTTTTTTTTTTGAGAGAAATTTGTATTAGCTTTATGCTTATATTTGGCAGTATTATTTTGAAAACTGCCTATTAAATTGCTCACTGGTGTAGAAATTACTTCAATGACTCATTTACTTGCTGATTTATTTCAAATGCAGACAAGGCAGAATCAGAAATCACATAAATTTATTGCTTTCAAAACTTATTCAAACTATGAAAACTTTGAAAAACTATTCGCTCATGCTGTTCCTTTGTCAATCAAAAAATCAAAAATAGCACATATTTTACATGAATTTGAATAATATAAAAAATTATACTGGTGCATGAAGCATGTAGATCTTTTTTTTTTAAATTATTAATCTACGTCAATATAAAGGAAAAATTAACCTTAGATCAGCATTGGTTTTATAATAGAATTTTATGAAGGTGCAAAGATGTTGAATCTTTTCTTCAATGTAGTAGAAATTATGAGACCATCTTTAAATAAGAGGGATCTTATACCTGTCTAATTTGAAACTGAAAGAATTTTGAATAAAACCAAGGTTGATTTTCTGTATAAAACTAAGGCTGATTTTACTAAATTTTATATTTAACACAGGTGCATCTATTAATATTAATATGATGCAGATTATGTATACTAACTATATAACATACATCATAACATTCAATCAAATACATTTCAAATTAATAATTTTGCCCAGATATAATACTAGCCAATACTTTCTATTCACTCAGTTACAGAAGTATAAATTTCAACTTCAGATTACCTTATCATATTTGAATCATATATATGAGGAAAACATACCCTTAAGTTCTTTCGCTTTCTGCCGGGTGTTTTCCCTGAAATCAGCTAAAGCTTTTAAGTATGGCATAACAGCATCTTCATTAACCTGAAAGAATAGAATTATAGTTTGTTAATTTAATAACTATATTATAGATACATGTAATACATGTAATACAGTGCAAAAATACAAGTTACTAAAAGAAAATATGAAAAAACAGCTATAATTTCATGCAAATAACAACTTCATATAAATGTAATGCTGAAAAAATTGTAAAATATTAATATAAGAAATTGGGAAAGGTATTTTTAATATCTTTATGACCTTTCTCTACCCCCTTTTTTAAAGGAAAATTTAAAATATTGACCAATTTTTCCATTTAGTATCATTGATAACAATACAGTACAATATCACTGTGTCTTTAGTAAAGAAATATTAAGTATCACAAAGACAGTAGAAAATTTCCCCCAGTATCTTTACGGTTACAAAATCCTGCTGCACATTAACCAAGCCTCATTATAAGCTGGACACTAAATTTCAAAAATTCAGAGAATTAAGTAGTCAGAAGGATACAGCAACTACCAAAATATGACCAGGAAATTTGGCATCGAAAAAGATTTTTTCATGGGAATGTTAATGCACTTCCAAGAAGATCTCCAGAGGAAAATATAAATATTGCTTGAAAACTGATAAAAATATAACTTTGAAGTCCAAGTTATTACAGATTCTGTAATATTATAGACTTAATCATGGAACATTAAGGAAGTGAGAAATGCTCAAAAGATGAACTCAGTTCAGATCAATAATGAAAGAAATGAAAACAATAAATGAAAAATTAAATCAATAAGAAATGGCACCATTTAGTCTGATAATGAAAAGTTACTGGGCTCTGTGAGATAGAGTTCTCTGTTACAAATGGGGAGCAGACAATGTAAAGTTTCTAATGGTATTCACTTCACTAAGATCTTGAGTCCCTAATATTCTGTTAGGGCTTCAGAATAGCTATACTGAAGGTCATTTTGGTATTATAAAGAAGCTACAAAAAGCATGTGAAAATTTCTCTCTCAGAAAATGTCAAAGCAGATGTGCGGGAAAATGACTGAAGGAAGCATGTTAAGGTTCTCAAACATATACACAAAAGAAATTATACTTTTAAATGATCACATTTTTCACCTTGATAGTGATCCTAACAATTTTCTTTATTTTACTCCAGTCTTCTCATTGACTTCCTTTTAAACTCACTTTTAGCATAATAATTAAAAAAAAAAAAAAAAAAAAGTGAAGGAAAAAAAAATCATGTGAAAATTCAGAGTTACAGCATAGACTGTTTAGTGAGTAGTAGAAACAAACATAGTACATTTGAGGACATTGTCCTGAAAGAGGTAAATAAGTGTAGTAGTGTATGCACTCATGACTCATCAAACTTAAGTCATATACAAATAAAAATATTTAGATCCAAACAGGACGTATACAGTACAAAGTCCATAATCCGGATGTCCAAGATCCTGAATGATCTCTAATCCAGACCTAGATGCCACTAACTTACGCATGCGCGTAATACATTTACGCATGCACGTTTAATACGTGCGTCCGCTACGCATGCGCGTAAAGCATTTACCCATGTGGGCTTCCGATAGTGAAGAAAGTGACAGAGAGGTTATTGAAAACGAAAAAAATTCATTTGACAAGTTAGTCGGTATTCTCGACACAGCAATTACAGGACTTGAACAGTGGAACTTTGTAACTGAACAAGAAATTATGTCTTTATAGAATTAAAGAGAAAATATTAGCACATCAAACGAAGCAACTTAAACAACTTACATTGAAAGAAATGTTTAATAAAGTAAATAAATATTAAGCTTTTCTTTTTGTAAATTTTGATACCCTTTAGATCATAATTGCTCTTTATTTCATAAACTATGGTTTCATATTTTTAATTGTATAATTTCTGCATGCCATCTTACCAGATTTAAATTGATGATCTAAAATCCGGAAAAACCCCTAATCCGGAATCGCCTCAGTTCCTTACAAGTCCAGATTTTGGACTCTACTGTATCAAGTTGGGCATATTTCAAAGGAGATGCAAACTGAGGTACTACTATATATTGTTTTCATTCGTTTACTTAGTGCAATTTACGTAATAACTTTACTTTGTATTATTGTTTAATCACACTTATGGCCACTTATTGTGTTTGTAAGTATTTTTTTCATACATTATATTATAAATCTTATAATTTTGAATCTGAGATTTAGGCAGAAAGCTTTCCTGGTGGGTCTTGACAACAATTTTTGTCACTAAGACAATGATATCTGGTGATTCTTTGCCAGCTAGGTGACAATCTAAGGTTGCTATCACACATCTGTTTGTTTCAGAAGAACAACTGCCTGGAACAATTTTTCCTCCTTTGTCACAACAGCCAATCACCGCAGATCACTTTGGGGTTAACATGTAAAGAGGAAACTGGTTCTCTATTACAAACAAGCTGATAGCTGATTGGTCGAAAATGAAAAACTTGCAATTTTTTTCGAAAGGAAGGAAAAAATTAAGCTTCTTTCTTTCAATATTAAACCAGGCAGAAAAATTGTCCAAAACAGTTGTTTGTGTAAAATAAATGCATGTGTGATATGGGCCTATGTTTCCAGAAGACATATTTTCAAAGCCCTAAGAGAAATTTTTCTAGAAGTTAGAGGAAGCTTCTAGAAGTGCTTGAGCAATCTTATAAATATTGAATGCATTAAAGCCTGCGACTACTTAATTCAGCTATTCAATTAAGAGCCATGCAACTTTGGTCAGCTCCATTTTGAAGATTACCACTTTAGATTTTACAAATGATACAGGTAATCTGTGATATTCTTCACATTTAAGAATTGGTATCATCCCTGTTGCTCATTTTGAGCTATCTATGGCTGTTGCTCACTTTCAGCACCTTGCTACATGAATTATGGTTTCTTTCAATAAACTGATGCGTTCTTCCTCTTCATCTGGTGTAATTATTAACAAATCTCTATGTGCATGCAACATACAACAGTAGGTATGAATTAACCTAAATAATATTCACAGAAGGAGAAATATAACTATATCTGATTTATCGTGGTTACATATATGGTTATTTCTAAACTGCTGTGTTATATCACTTGCTTTGAAATTAGGAAATTACCCTCATTATAGACAGTACACCATTTAAAGCTGTAACAAAAGTTCTAGATCAAAGTCGAATCACTCATAATCCAAAAAAAAAGAGATGCATGGCCTGGAGGGTTTTCCATAAATTTTAATTAAACTTAATATTTACATACATACAATGTAGGCTAAAATGCCTGAATCGAATATTTAAGGCTCAAAAGGCAAGAACTGAATAGTTCCAGCTAAAATCTAAATCGAATTCTATTGCGTAGTGCATCGAAATTCTACCTTCAAGAAGAAGAATATTTTTTTTTTCAAGTCACGTGTTCAGAAAGGGAAAGGTTAAGTAAGCCAATAGATGGACTCCTAACGCCATCTCTTGGTGATATCAAAGAATATTCCTTAACACACTCCCCACCTGAACTCTGATAAGAGTTCATCTAACTCAGTTATACATACAATCAAGTACATAAATCACTATTCTATAAAAATATTAAAAAATTCTAATTAGTCAAACACTTCAATTCTAATACAGGTTATACACTTCATGTATCAAATAATAAATGTTATAACTAATAAATGAACTAAATTTGTCAAAATATTTTCAATTTACTTAACTGAACAAACTTAACTAAAATTTAATCATTAATAAAAAAAAAAAAAAAAAAAAGAAAGAAAAAAAGAAAAAGTAAAAAGCATAACTAAATCGTTAAAGTTCAAAAACATCTAAAGTTCAAGAGGATATAGATGTTGAACAGTACGGTTTTAAAGTCCCATTACCAGTTTTTAATTCGAATGATCGGACTTTACCATCACGTCCAGGAATAGTTTTTATGATTCTACCAAGTTTCCATAATAGTTTGTTTTTATTATCTCCTTCAACTAAAACAACATCTCCTACTTTTAGTTCTGGTTGAAGTTTCGGATTCTTCAAGAAATGAGCAGTTCTAAGATCTAATAAATATTGTTGCTTCCATTTGCACCACAACTGTTTTAACAGCAATTCTTGATAACGCTTTCTTTTTAACAGCGTTTCTCTTGTCGTTTCGCTACCGATGATTCTAGCAAAAGTAAAAGGATACTTCAAATCAGTTTGTCCAATGTTTAAGGAAGTGCATTGGAGTCAACGGGTTGCGGCTCGTCATAGCTGTCGTTGTAAACATAACTTAGAGGTCGTGAATTAAGAACTGACTCCACTTCGACAAGTAGTGTAGACATTTCTTCGAAAGTCAACAATGCTTTTCCCTACGACTTTTTCTTAAACATTCTTTAAACAGATCTAACAAGTCTCTCATAAAACCCTCCCCACCATGGGGCTCGCTTCGATTATAAATTTCCAATGGATTCATTCTTTCTTTGGCGAATGAAATTCTTGAATTTGTCATCTTTTAAAATCTTTTGAAAAATTCCTCAAGTTCTTTCTTGTCTTCTTAAAGGTCTTGGCGTTGTCAGAGTAGATGATTACGCAGTTCCTCTTCTGCTCAAAAATCTACAAAATGCAAGTAAAAAGGATTCTGTTGACAATATCTGATACAAGTTCTAAGTGTACAGCTCGGGTTACTGCACAAACGAACAAAACAATATAGGATTTTTCGAGAGTCCTTTAGAATTCTTTACGTGAAACTGGTCCGGCAAAAATCAATTCCACAGACTGCAAATGGAGGCGATTCTCGGATTCTATCCTTTGGTAAGGGGGCTGTCATCTGGTCTGCTGGTTTAGCTAAATATTTTTGGCAAATTATACAACCTTTTAATGCATTTTTGACTAACTGTCGTCCTTTAGGAATCCAGAAGCGTGATCTGACTTTAGCTAAAGTTGCAGCAATTCCTCCATGCATTATCTTCTCATGTTCTTTGCATACAATCAGAATCATAAGTCGAGAATTTTTAAGTAACATTATTGGATGTTTATTATCTAGTGAGAAGTCAGGAAATTCCAGTCTTCCTCTCAACCTCATGATTTCCTTTTCATCAATGTAAGGAA